AAAGGGCTACCGCGCTAGCGAGCGGGCTCGGCCGGCGACAGCGCAGGCGCGCGGGATGGTCCCGGGCTCTCACCGGCATCCGGGGGGTGGAAATGAGAAGTGGGCACTCCGGAAGGGATCTGGGGGGGACCGCTATCGAGGTGGCACCGGCGCGGGCTGCGAGTGGCCGGAAGGGGGCGCCGGCGGCCTTGGAGCCTAGGGCACCGCGGGCGTTCGTGCCGCGTGTGACCCGGGCTCACCTGGCCGGCTCCTGGTGGTAAAATGACCCCGAGGCCTCCACAAGCCCAGAATTTAAGATTTAGCCTCTGTGTGTGCACAAGCTCCCTGGAGGGCCACACCTGGCGGTCGGGGGGACCTCCCCTTCCCCAGGCCCCCACCCCAGCCGCCCCAGGTTCCTCCCAGGGTGGAGCCAGAGTTCCAGGCCAGCGGCCTAACTCAGGCGTTCACCTGTCAGGTCCAGCCACGAGGCGCTGAGGGTGGAGAAAGGAGATCTGTGAGCTTGAGCAAAAAAGTACTTCACACCCATCTTCGGTAGCAGGGTAGCAGACATAAGAGGCGTTAGGTTTAGCCCGGGGCTGGTGGCTCACACTTGTAATCTGAGCTACTCAAGGAGGCTGAGATCTGAGGACTGTGGTTCCAATCAAGCTTGGGTAAGAAAATCTGTGCGATTCTTCGTTCCAATTAACCACCAAAAGGTAGGAACTGGGGCTGAAGCGCAAGTGGTAGAGTGCTAGCCTTGAGCAAAAAAAGCTCAGGGACAGCTCCACCGTCCTGAGTTCAAACCCCAGGATGGACATATACATAGCACAGGCACGCACACACCACACACATACGTGTTAAGTTTAGGTAGAGGAAGAAATAGAAACGGGGTGAAAGGTATGCATATAAGGAGTCCCAGGAAGTGGCGCTGTAGCTCAAGTGGTAGAGCGCTCACCTTGAGCTGAAGAGCTGAAGGACAGTGCCCAGGCCAGAGTTCAAGCCCCACGGCCGACCAAAAAATAAATAAATAATAAGGAGTCCCAGTTACAGGTGTGGCCTGGCAGGCCATTACCTGTGTTATTACTGTCATTACTTTATGGGAACAATCTGGTTCCCATGAGATGTTTCTCCTGCCCCAGGGTGCTGCAACATCACTGTAGGTAGTTGTCTTCATTTTGGGGTAGGGATAAGAGGGGGCGTGGGGTGAGGTTCTAGTATACCTTTCCTTGGGAGGGGGTAGTTTTGGTAATAAAGATGTTATTTATCAGTCTTTCCTTGCCCAAACCTAATATTTGCAGGTAATTGAGGAGGCGTGAGATATAGGATAATGGGGAAGAGGGAATGAAGGCAGAAATGGAGGCTTTTCTCCTGTTTTTAGTTAGTTAGCCTAAGTTCAGGGTCAGTGTGTTTTAGCAAAAGCAGCTTCCAAGTACCTGTTATCCCAGTGTTAGGCTGAGTCAAAAGGAGGGAAAGAAGGCAGAGATCTCAGCAGAACAGAACAGGCTTTAATCGTGGCTGCAGAGAGACTCAGTGTAACACCGAGTAGGGTTAGGGAGATAACGGGGTGTGTGGGGGCTTGTAGGTTTATACACAATCAAGGGTGAGATCTTTGCAATTTCTTCGCCTGTCCTGTTGGAGACTTACTGTGCAAACTGTCCTGTTTGGGGTTTTATAGTGGGGTATCTTCCTGACACCAACAGTCCTGCGCTTTCAGATAAGGTCAGGGCTGAGGTTTTCCTGAGAACAGGAGGGGTCTCCATGGGAGGGCAGTCAGTGGGCCCTAGGATCAACATGAAATTATGAGAACAAAGCAGATTCCCACCAACTAATGGGCAGATAGATCAGGAAATGAGAAAAACACTGTATTAAGGAATAATAACCAGGTTAAAAGCACACGGGCAGCTGGGAGCCTATGGCTTCTGTTTGTAATCCTAACTATGCAGAGACAGAGAAGTCCAGAAGGCTTCATGTCTAAAATAAGCACAGGGTGAAGGGGAGTTGAGCTAAGCAGAGTGGTATTGAAGGGAGCCAGCAGAGCCAGGGAGTTCAAGGCCCTAAATTCAAACTCCAATAGGGGAGGAGGAGGCACAGGGGTTTCTCATTAACACAGTGTTTATCTCTAAATTCCTGACTGCTTTCCCAGGCCTCATTAAGTCTTACACTTTTTCAATACGCCACAACATTTGATTTTATTAAAGAAAAGGAAAAAAAAAGCAACCGTATTCCCCCTGACCTTGGCTGTTTGTTCAAATAATTAGTGTGCTCTGGGAACTGAGCAAGGATATCTTAAACAAAACAGAAAACTTGAAAAAAATGACTCTTCTGGGCCAAAAAAAATTAGCAAAGGAAAATGCTTTTTTCAAGGATGGACACGTGTTGAAGGGAGTAAAATCCATCCTTTGTTTAAAGGCACATTCAGAAGTCTATGTTGTAATGATCCAACCTGAATAAGGAAAACGACCTTGAACTCCTTGGGTCTAGTGGATCAAACATTCTAACCATAAGGATGACAAATAAATATATTATGTACATACACACATTATAAAATATACCCATTGTTAGGTCACAGAGTAGCAGTTAGTGCATTTGAGCCAAACCCTAACCTACTATTTCATCATCAATATTCCCAGTGCTCAAAGGGTCATTGCAGCTGTTATCAGAGGCATCAGTACCCTGTGTGAGTCATGGGCAATCACTCTCTCTGATTTTCTTAGCTTTGCTAACAAACTTCCTGTTCTCTACCATAAAGTTGTTTCCCAAAGACAAGGTGGAGTCCATCTCCCCTTCAGAGATGCCACTGATTTTAGTGACATTAGGAAGTTTCTTTTCACCTTTCTCTTCCTTCCACTTTTTTTCTTTGCTTCTTTTCCTTCTCTTTTCGTTCTTTTTTTTTTTTTTTTCTTTTGGGTCCGGTAGTGGGACCTGAACTCTAGGCCTGGGCCCTGTCCCTCAGCTCTTCAGCTCAAGGCTAGCGCTCTACCACTTGAGGCACAGCGCCACCTCCGGCTTTTTTCTTTTTTGCTTATGTGGTGCTGAGGAATCGAACCCAGGGCCTCAGGCATGCAAGGCAAGCACTCTACGACTGAGCCATCTTCCCAGCCCCTCGTTCTTTTTTAAATTTGATTTGTTTTGGGTCCTTTTTCAAGGTGGTAAGGATCTCAGTAAATTCAAGTTTTTTCACTTTTTTTTTTTTTGTCAGTCTGGGCCTGGTGCTGTCCCTCAGCTCTTCAGCTGAAGGTGAGCACTCTACCACTTGAGCCACAGCACCACTTCCGGTTTCCTGGTGTTTAATTGGTGATGAGAGTCTCGGACTTTCCTGTCTGGGCTGGCTTTGAACCATGATCCTCAGATCACAGCCTCCTGAGTAGCTATGAGCTACTGGCGCCCAGCTAGGTTTTTCACATTTTATTTGGATGTTTTTTGTTTGTTTTGTTAGTGGTGGTGTTTGAACTCTGGGCCTGGGCCCTGTCTGTGAGCTCTTCAGCTCAAGGCTAGTGCTCTACTGCTTCAGTCACAGCGCCACTTCCTGTTTTCTGGTGGTTAATTGGAGATAAGAGTCTCACAGACTTTCCTGCCCAGGCTGGCTTCGAACTGCGATCCTCAGATCTCAGCTTCCTGAGTAGCTAGGATTGCAGGTGTGAGCCACCGGCACCCAACTTCAGTCAGAGTTTTATAGCAGTTAGTTGAACAGAGTCACAGGCATTTCTCCTACAAAGTACTACATAGCATTACAAATATGCTACAATTTAAAATTTTCCAGTTAACAAAAGATCCTATTAAGTTTTGGGGGGCATAGTTCCTGAGACTCTGTCCAGACCAGATACAAAGCATGGCTTATTTATAAATTCAAGACTCATAGGCACCTGGAATATTTAATCCTGGTATACAGTTAAAATGCAGGTTTAAGCAGGGCACTGGTGGCTCAAGCCTGTAATCCTAGCTACTCAGGAAGCTGAGATCTAAGGAACAAGGTTCAAAGGTAGTCTATCTCCAATCAACCACCAAAAAGCTACAAGTAGAGACAGTATGGCTCAAGTGGTAGACTGCTGACCTTGATTGGAAAAGCCAAAGTCCTGAGTTCAAGCCTGAGGCCCGAGTTCAATCCTGAGGCCCTGAGTTCAGGCTCCAGGTACTGGTACAAAAAATAAACTAAAAAGATGTAGGGCTGGGAAGGTGGCTTAGTGGCAGAGTGCTTGCCTCATGCATGAAGCCCTGGGTTCAATTCTTCAGTACCACATAAGCAGAAAAAGCCAACTGTGGTGCTGTAGCTCAAGTGGTAGCAGTTCTAGCCTTGAGCAAAAGAAGCTAGGCCCTGAGTTCAAGCCCCAGGACTGGTAAAACAAATGTAGGTATATTCATTACTCTTATGTTCTCCTGTAACATATCAGCTTCTTTGCTGGCATTGACAGCATTTTCTTGTATGTTTTCTGAGTTTCTTCACTTATTACAACCCTATTAAGGATAAAACACCTTTTCAAAATGAAAGGTGGTATACAGCTTGCAGATACTTGCAAACTGTTTGTCCAACAACCCCCTCTAACAGTGTGCACCTCTGGTGCCATGAGCTGCTTGGCTTCAAAATGCAAACTTGGTCCTGGGCGCTGTCCCTGAGCTTTTTTGCTCAAGGTTGGCACTCTACCACTTGAACCACAGCACTCCTTCCAGCTTTTTCTCTGAGTAGTCTATTGGAGCTAAGAGTCTCACAGACTTTCCTGCCCAGACTAGCTTCAAACCTTAATCCTCAGATCTCAGCCTCCTGAGTAGCTAGGATGACTGGTGTGAGCCCCCCACTCCCAGCAATTCATATACTTTTTCTGAACAAGTTTTATCTCCTTCCTGGTAGAAGAACTGCTTGTACTGTGTCCATGAGAGACTGATCTGAAAGATTTCCTGAGTGATTGTTTGCCTGTCTTGTCAGGAAAGCACTGGGCCATTTCCCTTGTTGACTGAAGACCAAGAAGAAGTGGGCCGTGGTGGCCTCTGCCTAGATCAGCGAGGAGAGCCAGAGCCTCCCCCAACTAATGCGGAAGACAGGTAAGGTGCCCACCTCAGACCACCTCTCACCATCCCCACGGATTTTAAGTTACAGTTTGATGATGATGATGATAATGATGATGATGATGATGATGATGATGATGATGATGATGATGTAGTTGTATAAAGGGGTTGCAACTCCATAAGTTAGATTCTGAGTCTTGGTCATTGTCACCCCTTCCTTCATTCTTCCCCATTTCCCCTTCCAGATTCTTTCTTTCTTGTCAGTTGTGGGGCTTGAACTATGGGCCTGGGTGCTGTCCCTCAGCTCTTCAGCTCAAGGCTAGCGCTCTACCACTTGAGCCACAGTGCCACTTCCAGCTTTTTCTGCTTATGTGGTGCTGAGGAAGCAAACCCAGGGCCTCATGCATGAGAGGCAAGCGCTCTACCACTGAGCCACCTTCCCAGCCCCCCCCCCCATTGCTTTTTGTGTTTACATATATTGGTTGTACAAGGGTATGTGTGTTTCATTGTGACATTTCCATACATGTAAACAATGTAGGCCAACTAACCTCTTTTCTCTCCACCACTCTCCTCATCCCATTCCCCTTTCTCTTCTTCCTTCTCTATTTCTCTTTTTTTTTTGGCCAGGCCTGGGGCTTGAATACAGGGCCTTGGCACTGTCCCCAGCTTCTTCTTCTTTTTTTTTTGTTAATCGTGGGGCTTGAACTCTGGTCTTGGGCACTGACCCTGAATGAGCACTCTACCACTTGAGCCACAGCCGCAACTTCCACTTTTCTGCTGGTTTATTGGAGATAAGAATCAGCGAGGAGAGCCAGAGCCTCCCCCAACTCATGCGGAAGACAGGCTTTGAACCAAGATCCTCAGATCTCAGAGTCCTGAGTAGCTAGGATGACAGGCGTGAGCCACCAGCGCCCCGCTCCCTAAGTGTCTTTTGCTCAAGGCTAGCGCTCCACCACTTGAGCCACAGCGCCACTTCTGCTGTCTTGGCTGTGATTTGGAGATAAGAGCCACTGACTCTTCAGTCCAGACTGGCTTCAAACCATGATCTTCAGATCTCAGCCTCCTGAGATTACAGCCTCCTAGGATTACAGGTGCCAGTCACTAGTGCCCAGTTTGCACTTCTTAAAACAATTTCAGCATATTTCATTGTTCTGTATTCATGCATGTAACTATACCATGTGGAGTGTGTTTATCCTCATTCACTCTCTCTCTCTCCTTCCTTCCTTCCTTCCTTCCTTCCTTCCTTCCTTCCTTCCTTCTTTCTTTCTTTCTTTTTTTTTTTTTTTTGCCAATCCTGGGGCTTGAACTCAGGGCCTGGGCATTGTCCCTGAGCCTTTCTTTTTTTTTTTTGGATTAGCTTAATTTATTCTCTCTCAATAGGTATTTGTTTTCAAAAGTATTTAAGATCTTTAGGCTGTTGTTTTATGTAGAATACAGTGATTAAAGCTGTTTTAGGTTAGCTTTAAGGATTTGAATGTCTGTTAGTTCCTCTGGATTCCATTAGGATGAATCTTTTGGCATGTTAGAACAGAATTGAAGACAGAGAGAAGGGTATTGATTTCTCTTCTTATATTATCTTGATTCGGTACATGAAATTAAAACAGAACACTCCAGAAGGTAACAAGGATGTGTCTACAAACATTTCTGGCTTACTTGTCAGATGATAGGCATGATCATCATTTTTGGCTGCTTCTTTTCTTCTCGTCCCTGAGCCTTCTATGCTCAAGGCTAGTGCTCTACCACTTGAGCCACAGCAGCCACTTACAGCTTTTTCTGCTTACGTGGTACTGAGGAATCGAACCCAGAGCTTCATGCATGCCGGGCAAGCGCTCTACCACTGAGCCACATTTCCAGCCCTCATTCACTCTGTCAGTTGGCCTTCCCCTCCCCCTTCCCCCACACCTGTTTCACCCTCCTGTCCTTCATTACAAGGGATTTTGATTGGTGGGTATAAATGAGACAGGAGCCCAATCTGTGGGTCAGATTATGGCTGAAAGTATCACTGCGGCATATTGGTGTGGTCCAGGCCTGCCTGTTTGGGTCAGTAAATCAAGTAGACCATCTCCAGCCTTCCCACAGGGAAGTGGTCACAGCATAGGCTGGCATAAACTGGATGGACCACATGAGGAACTGGATGGGAAGTTTGAACCAGAAACCACGTCTTGGGGTTGTGGGCCTCATACCAAAATGGTATCAAGACACCTAAAATTAAAACAAGCAAACAAACAAACAGATTATTGAAGAGAGAAAAGCCAAGGCCAGGGCTCAGGACTTGCCCGTGTGTGTGTGTGTGTGTGTGTGTGTGTGTGTGTGTGTGTGTGTGTGTGTGTGTGTATGTGTGTGTGTACTAGTAATAGGGCTTGAACTAGGGTCTGGGCACGGGCCCTGAGCTTTTTCCTCTTTAGGTTGGTGCTCTACCACATGAGCCATACCTCCATTTCCAGTTTTTTGCTGGCTAGAGACAAGAGTCGCACAAGCTTTCCTATTTGGGCTGGCTTCGAGCTAGGATCCTCAGCCCTCAGCCTCTGAGTAGCTAGGATTCCAAGTGTGAGCCACCGTCCAGCCTTGGCTACTGTTTGAGCGCCAGGAGAGGAGCTTCAGGCTTCCTGGAGGTGGGGAGGAAAGGCTCCCATGCCGTCTGCGGCTGGAAAGTTAAGCAGAGAGAGAGAAGTGGGACCCAGCGGAGGCTCTGAAAGTTTGGGGACTTTCTCTGCAATTTCATGAGCAATACAGAAGTGGAAAGAAGGAAAGGAGAGAGCTGATGGCACACTGTTCCTACAAACAGAGAAGTAGGGCAGTGGCAGGGAGCAGCGTGGGTCAGGAGAAGGGACACCACAGGGACACCACAGCTTGTGCCCGCTGGAGGGGGCCCTGGCATCGCAAGGGATCGAGGGGTTTCACCACCTCCCACAGCCTCCTCCATGAGCCAGCTTTCTCCCCCCCCCAACCACACTGTGTGAGGCCCATGTCTGGAAAGTTCACTGCCCAAGTATCTTCTCCAGAACTTAAACTTCAAGAGGCCACCACCAGGTGCCGGTGGCTCACGCCTGGAATCCCAGCTCCTCAGGAGGCTGAGAGCTGAGAATTGCGGTTCAAAGCTAGCCCAGGGGCTGGGAAGGTGGCTCAGTGGTAGAGCGCTTGCCTTGCATGCCTGAGGTCCTGGGTTCGATTCCTCAGCACCACATAAGCAAAAAGAAAAAAAAGCTGGAAGTGGCACTGTGGCTCAAGTGATAGAGTGCTCGCCTTGAGCTGAAGAGCTGAGGGACAGCGCCCAGGCCCAGAGTTCAGGCCCCACGACCGCCCCCCCCCCCCAAAAAAAGATCAAGCCCCAATATAGGCAAAAAAGAAAAAAAGGAAAAAAAAAAGAATGTGGGTTCCTGAGTTCAACCTTTAGTACCAGCACAAAAAAAAAAGAAAAAGAAGAAAAAGCCACAGTGGTCATCATCCCTGTTTTCCTGGAGTCGGGCACTGGGAGGAGCTGCCTGGGCCATTTCAAAGGCTCAGCTACACATTTGTTGTCTGAATGAATCTGATCAGGTACAGAAATGAAGACGCAGGAGCAAGAGGGAAGGGCAAAAGGAGCAAAGTCTTAAGGCGGTGCTGGCCCAGCACAGTGGCCGGTGCAGCCTCCCTGATGGCCTGTCCTGGTTCTGGTCTCCGTCGAGGGTGTGTGTGTGTGTGTGTGTGTGTGTGTGTGTGTGTGTGTGTGTGTAAGCTTACTGAAGCTGACTAACATCAGCTTATCGGGAGGAAAGGTTCATTTTGGCTGTCACTGTGGTCGCTTAGTCTTGTTGTCTTCAGGCCAGAGTGGAGGCAGCACAGGAGAGCAGGACAGAGGAGACTGCCCACCACAACAGCCGGGCTGCACAGCTGGCTGCAGAGCCCAGGGAAGGGATGAGCCAGTCTCCCCCCCAAAGCCACGCCTCCAATGACCTAACTTCCTCCCTCTGGGCCCCATTTCCAAATGTACTGCCCAGAGAGAGCCATCCAAGGCCGGTCGCTCCACATCAATATCAACTCCAGCAACCCAACCAACGCTCCCTCCTTCCAGATGGGACTGCTGCGCCAGACACTGCTCAGGAGGGTCCCAGCTTGGGGGTTCTCAAGTGCAGGACAGGGTTGGGGGTGCTCCGCCCTGGGGACCGTCCAAGAGTCAGGCCCAGATCCCAGTGGGAGGAACTGCAGGCCTCCCCAAAGTAAACACTGCTTGATATCCTGCCCCAGCAGGCAGCGAGCGGGCCTGCCAGTCACAGCCCACACGGGCCACGTCCCCAGCGGATCTGCAGCAGCCCTCCCCTGCCCTGCACTGTGGGCACTTCAGGATGAGCCAGTGTCTGCCCGGTGTGGCGCAGCGCCCTCTCCTTGCAGCCAGCATCCGGGGTTTTCTTACTGGTGCCTTCTTTGTCCTGGGCTGCTGGGGGTTCCCTGATTTCCAGCAGGTAGGCCCGGGGCAGGCACTGTGTTGGGGTCACCTCTCGAGAGTGCTGCCTTACAGTCCTGGGATACAGACGGCACATTCTCTCTTTCTTTTGACCCAAGAGGACATTGGCTTCTTCTTGAAGATGCTCAGTGCTTGTTTATTCCAGACCTGTGAGAGTTTCTCTTCTCTGTCTCCCCCTCACTGCCCTTTCTCTTGCTTTTCCTCTCCTGGCTCAGTTTTTTTTACACTCTCCTCCTTGGTCTTCTCGTCTCCTTTCCCTTTCCTTCCTCTCGTGTGTGTGTGTGTGTGTGTGTGTGTGTGTGTGTGTGTGTGTTTGAACTCAAGGCCTGGGCACTGTCCCTGACCTTTTCGTTCAAGGCTAGTGCTCTACCACTTGAGCCAGGGCTCCACTTCTATTTGTTGGTAGTTTAACGGAGATAAGAATCTCACCTACTTGAGCCACACCTCCACTTACAGCTTTTTGCTGACTAATTGGAGATGAGTCTCACAAATCTTCCAGGCTGGCTGGCTTTGAACTGGGATCCTCAGCTCTCAGCCTCCTGAGTAGCTAGGATGACAGGCGTAAGCCACGGGCCCCTGGCTCCCCATCTCCTTTTGTCTTGCAGGATTTTTTTCAGGCTCTGGAGCCCAAGAATGTGTCTTCGAACTTTGGCCCCGACGCTGCCTCTGCAGGTATGGCTTGTGACATTTTCCCAAGGAGAAGAAGTTGTAACAGAAGTGTTCAAAGGCAGGAAACCCTACTGAGTGCATAGTCAGGCTGGGGATGGCTCTGGATGGAGGTCCGAGGGGCTGTGTGATCCTAGTAATTAGCTTTGCCACTTCCTGCTCAAGTGATAAGAGCTGGTCAGGGCGTTCTGACCACAGGCTTCTGTTAAAAGAGTCCAAAAGGGCTGGGAAGTTGGCTCAGTGGTAGAGCGCTTGCCTTGCATGCTCGAGGCCCTGGGTTCAATTCCTCAGCAACACATAAGCAAAAAGAAAAAAGCTGGAAGTGGCGCTGTGGCTCAAGTGGTAGAGTGCTAGCCTTGAGCTGAAGAGCTGAGGGACAGTGCCCAGGCCCAGAGTTCAGGCCTCACAACTGGACCAAAAAAAAAAGAGTCCAAAAGAAATTGCCACTAATCAGCCATTTCTTCCTCCCTTGCCCCTTCTCTCCTTCTGCCCAGGCTGGCTGATTTTCAGCAACTTCGTGGTTTCTGACCACAGTTAAAAATACTTATTCCCCTTACAGGAGTGAAGGTGTATGTGTCATGCCCCTCAGAGGCAGTATACCTTCTTATGGGAAGGCTTTTCCCGTGCCTTATAGGTGGTGTCTCAGGGTGCCAGCCCCCCTTTCAGGTAGGACAATGGATGATTTTGATGATGGGTGTTGGGGGCTCATGCCTGTAATCCTAGCTACTCTGGAGGCTGAGATCTGAGGATCATGGTTCAAAGCCAGCCTGGGCAGGCCAGAAGTTAGAGCTGTAGCTCAAGTGATAGAGCTAGCCTTAAGCATAAAAGTAAAGTTCAGGGACAGTGACCAGGCCCTGAGTTCAGGCCCCAGGACTGGCAGGCACACAGGCACACATGCATGTACACCTTCCGTGCACAAATCTGGTGGGAACCAGAAACAAGTGGGCTAATATTCAAAGTGGAGAGAAAGAGCAGGCAGTGTGACTGCCTAGCTGCTGTGTGTTATGGGCCAGGTGTGCGCTGGCCAGGGCTGGGCTGGGGCTGGAGCACCCTCAGTGCTGGTGAGGGGCAGGGGCCAGGGGCACCCCCAGAGCCAGCCTGGGGCAGAGGCCAGCCCTCCCTGTATCAGGAGGCCCTGGTAAATCCTTGGCTATGGTGATGATGCCTTCCACTCTTCCTTCTTTTCCTCCTTATTTTCATGGAATTGGGGTTTGAGCTCAGGGTCTCACGCTAGGCAGGCACTCTGCTGCGTGAGCCACACCTCCGGTCCCTTCCTCCTTCTTGGTGCTGGTTATGTTTTTGAAGTAGAGTCTCTCTTTTTATCCTGGCCGGCCTGGACTGAGGCCCTCCTGTTTATACGTGCACAGCTTGGATGACAGGCGTGAACTACCACTCTCAGATTTTGTTGAGGAGTGTGAGGGGTATCTCTAACTTCTTGGCTGGGTGATCCTCCACCTCTTAGTCCCTCCATGACTACAGGTATGAGACCCGGGGGCTCAGCCTGGAGCCAGCCTCTTTAGGATGGAGCACCCAGGGAACACCTGGCTACAAACAGGCCATTTGTGCAGACGGTCCGCTGAGAACACCTCACGCTATGAGCAGCCCCGCCCTGAAGACAGAGCACATCCCGCTGTGTGCTTCGGGTCTCCTGCCCCTGTGGTGTCATGACCAGGTTTCTTTTTTCTTTTGGTCGTGAGGCTTGAGCTCTGGGCCTGGGCGCTGCCCCTCAGCTCTTCAGCTCAAGGCTAGCGCTCTACCACTTGAGCTACAGCACCCCTTCCTGCCTTTTCTGCTTATGTGGTACTGAGGAATCGAACCCAGGGCCTCATGATGCAAGGCAAGCGCTCTACCGCTGAGCCACCTTCCCAGCCCCCCGACCGGGTTTCTCATGCTCCCCTTGTTGCCGATGGGGACTTGGTGGCTCACTGGAAGTGGCTACCCCAGGCCTGCCAAGCAGCTCCAGGGCACAGCTGCATCTGCCGCTGCGCAGGCCTGGCTGGCACATTCTCCCCTGCACCCAGGTGGGAAGTAGGGCTGTCCTGGGCTTTGTCTGCCATCTTGGGCTAACTCAGTTGTACAGTTGATGATAGAGAAGGGTGGAGGCTGTGGAGCAGGCCTGCACTAGGGGCAATTGGGGGCTGTGGAGGAGGGCCCCGCACAAGATGGGACCCCGTTAGGCCCTTGGGTGACTCTTCCTCCTCCTCCTCATCCTCTTCCTCCTCCTCCTCTTCCTGTCCTACTCCTCTGCCTCCTCTTCTTCCTCCTCCTCCTCCTCTTCTTCCTCTTCTTCCTCTTCCTTTTCTTCTCCTCCTTCTCCTTTTTCTTTTTCTTTTTGTGTCAGTACTGGGGCCTGAACATGGGGCCTGGGCACTGTCCCTTAGCTTTTTCACTCAAGGCTGATACTCTACCTCTTGAGACACAGCTCCACCGTCTGCTTCTTGGTGGTTCATTGGAGATAACAGTCTCATAGATTTCCCTGCCTTGCAGATCGCAGGCTCCTGAGTAGCTGGGATTGCAGGCGTGAGCCACCAGTGTCCAGCTCTGTCTGTTACTCTTTTTTGTTTTGTTGTTGTTGTTTGTTTTGGTCAGTAGTGGGTCTTGAACTCTGGGCCTGGGCACTGTCCCCAAGCTCTTCAGCTCAAGTCTTGCACTCTACTACTTGAGCCACAGTGTCACTTCCGGTTTTCTGGTGGTTTATTGGAGGTAAGAGTCTCACAGACTTTCCTGCCCTGGCTGGCTTTGAACTGGGATCCTCAGATCTCAGCCTCCTGAGTAGCTAGGATGACAGGCGTGAGCCACCGGCACCTATCCTGTTTCTCACTCTTGAGCACCAGCTTTCTAGAGCCTTCACTTTCAGCCTTCCCCTGCTCTCCCAAGTCTCCCTTCTTTCTAGAACCTTCACCTTCAGCATTTTCCTCCTTTCCCAGGTCTCCTGTCCCCTGGCCTCCAGAGGCGAAGGTGGGCTGCTGGGGACATTTTACACCTGGAACTGTTGGTGGTTGCGGGCCCCGATGTCTACCAGGCTCACCAGGAGGACACCGAGCGCTATATACTGACAAATCTCAACATCGTGAGTGCTGGGTGGGACTGGTACTGGCTGGCACAGGAAGGGAGGGGCTCCAGACACAGTTCCTCATCCAGTGCATTTGCACTTGGTCTTGTTGGCTTGGGTAGAGATTGGAGGCTGGGGTCAGCTGGGGGCTCAGGGCCCTGTGGGTGGTCAGAGGTTTTGCTTTCTCCTCTGTCCCTACTCGGCAGCACAGCTCCATGCACCCTACTGACTCTTTCTCCTTTGGTCTGTGCCTGAAGCTACCCTCAAGCCTCTCTTCCCCAGTGTCCGTTCAGCCAATGATGGGCTCAGGCTGCCCGCTCAGTCCTGCGTTCCCCACTGATGTGCCCTCTCGGCCCCCTCATCCTGTGCTTGCGAGGTGCAGAGCAGGCCAACGCCCAAAGGGTACTGATGGTTCACATCTGTAATCCTAGCTACTTGGGAGGCTGAGCCCTGAGGATCGCAGATGGAAGCCAGCTCTGATAAATAAATCCATGAGTTTTATCTCATCCATTCAACTATCCACCACTGGCTCGGAGCCTAAGAACGGGCATTTCCGCCTCCCTGCCACCTGTTCTTGTTGATGGAGTTTCCAGCCATCCTTACTGGGACACTGGACCAGCTCTGCCCATCACATGATGCGCCACGCTTTGCTTTCCGCAGGGGTCGGAACTTCTGAAGGACCCAAGCCTGGGGGCTCAGTTCCGGGTGCATCTGGTGAAGCTGATGATCCTCGTGGAGCCCGAGGTGGGTACTGGGTTGGACACGTGCTGAGCTGAGAGCTGGTGCCCCTCCATCCTCGTCTGCAGTGCCTGCAGGTTGTGACGACTGCAGGACTCCCACCCAGCTCTGGTACTCAGCGAGAGCTGAGTGATGGCACTGCTGGGGCCGCAGTTTCCTCGTCTGCAGTGGGCGGAGCCGGGGTTGGGATAGCTGTGCAGGATAGCTGTACAGGATAGCTGTAGTGCTGTGAGAAGGAATGACAGACAGGCCAAAGTGGGCTCTGTTACCGATCTCTCAGGATGCTCCAAATATCACAGCCAACATCACGTCGTCCCTGCGGAGCGTCTGTGAGTGGAGCCAGACCGTCAACCTCACGGATGACTCGGCTCCTGGGCACGCTGACCTGGTCCTCTACGTCACCCGGTAGCGGGGCTTCCGGACAGTCTGCCACGCCGGGGAGGGGCTCCGCCATGACCGCCGCATGGGGCAGCGGGGAGCTGGCTGTGGCAAGCACTGGAGCCACCCAGGTGACTCTTCTCTTGCCAAGGTTTGACCTGGAATTACCGGATGGTAACCGGCAGGTTCGGGGGGTCACCCGGCTCGGAGGCCTCTGCTCCCCGTCCTGGAGCTGCCTCATCACCGAGGACACTGGGTTCGACCTGGGAGTCACCATCGCCCATGAAATTGGGCACAGGTGGGTGACCCCACCCGCGGTCGCCAGGTCCCCACGGGGGAGGGGAGGTTATCCGCAGAGGCAGAAACTACCAGAAGCGTTGTCCCCTTGAGCGGAGGGGACCAGGAAGGGGGGGAGGGGCTGGGGCAGGACTCTAATGCTTCTTGTTTGCCAGGTGATTAAAAGCCCCTGACCGCACCTGTGCTGGAGGAACTTGCACACCCCGAGCCCAGGCGGCGGCCGTGCTGGCAGCCCCCCCCCCCCATTTACAGTGCCACAGATTCGTTTAAGTCAAGGGTCAGGAGCCACCCAGCTGAGCCAGCAGGACTGTCCATTGGGAAACTGAGGCAGGGTGGCCCCATAACTTGTTCCATGGTGTATTTAGCTAATGGCAGGGTCAGGGGCCAGCCTGGGTACTACACGTGGCTGGGTGGGACCTGAGATGAGGCCTGTGCCAGCCCCAACCCCACCAGCCGCTCTCGGCGCCGTCCCGTGTCCTCAGCCTTGGCCTGGACCACGACGGCACACAGGGCGGAGGGTGCGGCTCCAGTGGCCACGTGATGGCGTCGGCTGGCGCGGTGTCAGCGGGCGGGGCTCTGGGGTGGTCCTCCTGCAGCCGCAGGCAGCTGTGGCAACTGCTGAGGTACGACCCCCCCACCCACACCGGGGCACCGCTCCCTGCCTGCCTTGCTGCCGGCCCCTCGTCTCCGCCGGGCGGCACCCCTGCTTCCTGTCCTGGCCCTCTGGCACCCATCCTCCACTGTGTGTGACACACCCCGCCTGACACTTCTGCCCTCCCTCATTCTCACTTCCGGGCACCCACTCCTCCGTCCCACCCCGTTCCTCAGGCCCACCCTGCAGCGGCCCCTTCCCCTTCATCTGCCCCACCTGCTCCCATCTCTCCTGTGGCCCCTCTGCCCCCTCCAGCCCCCAGGCCCCATCTCTGGTCCATGGTCCTCACCTCCACCGTCTGCTCAGCTCGGCCCCCATCACCTCCTGTCCGGTGTCCCAGCCCACCCTGCCCATGTCCACCCCTCCTGGTGTCGGGGACGGGGTGAGGGAGAGGAGAGGGGCCTGAGCCGGGGTCCATCGCAGGGCAGGGAGAGCACGCTGCCTGTGGGACCAGCCTCGGCCACAGTCCAGACCCGTGGGCTTCCCCCGAGATGCGCAGCCCGGCCTCTACTACGATGCTGACCAGCAATGTCGCATTGCCTTTGGGCCCCGGGCTGTGGCCTGCACCTTCGCCAGGGAGGGCTTGGTGAGTGGCAGCTCCTCGTCTGCACCCTGCCCTGCCCGGCTCACCTCCCCCGGTGCCCACGCGGTGCCCACCGCCCTGCAGAGGCACGCCTAGACCCACTCCGTTTGAGGCTTGCTACCACAAGCATCATTGTGAAACAGTTTTGAACCACAGTCCCCACATTTTTGTTTGACTAGGACCCACAGATTGTTCAGAGGTCCTGGGACAGGCCCGGCAGGTACCAGCTTGCAGTCTGCCAAGCTGAGCTCGCACAGAGGGCTTCCCGCAGGAGGTAGCCTCCTCACTGGCCTCACGGCAAGACTATGGCTGACAGGGGGCCCGGAGGCGGAGGGGGCACAGGCACCACTAGAGACAGACTTCCTCCCAGGACTCCCTAGGACTTCCAACGGCCCTGTGCCCTTTTGCCCTGGGGTTCCTTCCTCCATAAAAAGTATTCTTATTAGGTGTACAGGTGTGGTTTAAGTGGTAGAGTGCCGGCCTTGCAAGTATGAGGCCCTGAGTTCACACCCAGTACCACTGGGCGCTGGTGGCTCCCGCCTGTAATCCTAGCTACTCAGGAGGCTGAGTTCTGAGAACTGAAGTTCAAAGCCAGTCTGGGCAGGAAAGTTTGTGAAACTTTTTTTTTTTTTTCAATTTCCAGTTGTAGGCCTTGAACTCTGGGCCTGGGCACAATCTCTCAGCTCTTTAGCTCAAGGCCAGCACTCTACCACTTGAGCCACAGTGCCACTTCCAGTTTTCTGAGTGGCCTAGACTTTGAACCTTGATCCTCAGATCTCAGCCTCCTGAGTAGCTAGGATTATAGATGTGAGCCACCGTTGCCTGGCTTCCTGAGACTCTATCTCCAGTTAACCACAAACAGCGGGAAGTGGAGCTGTGGCTCAAGTAGTAGAGTGCCAGCCTTGAGCAACAAAGCTAAGGGACAGTGCCCAGGCCCTGAGACAAGCCCCAGTACCGGCACCAAAACAAAACTAAAAACCAAACTCAAAAAAACACAAAATAACCCCAAACCTTGTACCACCGAAACACAGAGAGGGGTGAGGGGAGAGAGCGAGAATTATGTATTTACTTGTTAAATACAACATATGCACTTTTGTGCCTTATTATCCATACAAGTATTTAAGGTACACGTATATTATGTATGTTAAGTACAACTAATTAATACATTAATTATATATCTGAACAATTGTTTTGGCCTTAAATTTTATCTTTCTCTTCTGATTCAGAAAATATGAAAACATTTTCCCAGCTCTCTGGAAACCTGTTAGCCCTGGCTAGGATCCTTCTCTTTTTAATTTTTTTAAACTTTTTGTTATTGTAAGGGTGATGTACCAAGGTTACAGTTTGCGGGTCAGGTAGAGAGTGTATTTATTTTTTTTTTCTTTTCTTTTTTCTTTTTTGGTTGTGGGGCCTGAACTCTGGGCCTGGGTGCTGTCCCTCAGCTCTTCAGCTCAATGCTAGTGCTCTACCACTTGAGCCACAGTGCCACTTCTGACTTTTTCTGCTTATGTGGTGCTGAGGAATCAAACCTCATGCATGCAAGGCAAGCGCTCTACCACTGAGCCACCTTCCCAGCCCTAGAGTGTGTATTTCTTTTTAGACTTGCACTCTCCCAATTAGGATCCTTCTCTTGATGATGACCAGTCCTCCCTGCCACCGGGCAGTGACCACGGAGGCGGGTCTGGGTAGGCCAGTGTGTCCTGTGGTCTGAGTGGCCACCCGGCTCCCTTCTCAGGATGCGTGCCAGGCTCTCTCCTGCCACACGGACCTCCTGGACCACAGCAGCTGCAGTCGCCTCCTGGTCCCTCTCCTGGATGGCACGGAATGTGGGATGGCGAAGGTCAGAGCAAAGAGCGACGGGTGGAGCGTGTGTGGGAGCGCACGGGGGACGTGTGCGCAGGCATGCTCCCCCAGAGCAGTCCCAGCAGGGCGCCTCCCTCGGGGGAGGGGAGGGGAGGCGGGATCTGAGCCTGGGGAGACCCTGGCTGGGTCTGCAGGGATGGCAGAGGTTTCCCGACATTAGACTCCCCTCAGCCCTTTGAAGGCCTGGAAGGCTTTCTAGGCTTGCATTACCCACATTGCTTTACCAAGATGTGGGGGGGGGTCCCTGTGGGTCCTGGGGGTGGTCCCTGGGGAGGGCTCCCCGTGGGGGTGGGAGGCCAGCCATGTCTATCTTGCAGTGGTGCTCCAAGGGTCACTGCCGCTCACTGGCGGAGCTGAGTCCTGTGGCGGCTGTGCATGGACACTGGTCTGGCTGGGGTCTGCGTGGCCCTTGCTCCCGCACCTGTGGAGGAGGTGTGGTCATCAGGAGGCGGCAGTGCAACAACCCCAGGTACGCAGGTACCCCAGGGAGGAGGGGCCTCCAGGGAGGATGGCCACGCCCCATTCCCTGGGCCATGGTCACCTCTCACCTCTGGTATTTCATGGTCATTTCTAGGCCTGCCTTTGGGGGGCGTGCGTGTGTCGGTGCTGAGTTCCAGGCAGAGATGTGCAACACCCAGGTAGGCCCGCCTCCCAGGCTGGGCAGGCTGGGTGGAAGACAGCAACCATGTGGTCAAGTTGTGGTCCACACCTTGCTTTTGCAAGGGACATTGGGACCACAGGGCATAAAGCAAGCGGGTCCCGCTGGTGAGCCACAGAGCCGCTGAAGTGTTTGCTTCCATCCCCAAGCGCCCCTCGGCTCACTGCCACCAGAGTCTTCCCTGGGGAGTCCCCACTGTGGGGTGTCAGCCATGCTTGTAGATTGAGCTGAAGTCTAGGCCACATAGCTGCGGCCGTGTGGAGGCTAACGGCACAGTGGCGTTCAGCGCACTGGCAGTGTTGTGCAGCACCAGCTTCGTATGGGTCCAAGCATGGCCACCCCTCCAGGGAAGCATGCCACACCAGTACTCAGCCTCCTGTTTCCCTCCCCTGCTCCCACCCCACAGGGCCGCTGGTCCCTTCTCTGCCGCTGTGGATCTCGGTGGTGCCCTTTGGTGCCTGGCTCATTTCCCTTAGCCCAGCGCTTTCAGGGGCCATCTGCGGGGGTACCATGAGAGTGGACTTCACGCCCACTGAAGGCCGAATAGGGTCCCACCGCCCAGACAGAACACTTGTTGCACTGAAGTTTGCGGGCGGCTGGCAATGAACTTGAATGTGTGTCTTTTGGAGTCTCTGTCATCAGTCCTCTTAGCTGTTTGGCTGATTCAGTCTGTTTGGGCTGCTATCACAAAACACCACAGGCTGAGTCATTTGTAAACGGCAGAACTGCTGGGCAGTCCAAATTCAAGGCCTGGCAGGCGTGGTATCTGGTGAGGGCTGCTCTCTGCTCTCCAGGTGGTGCTCTGTGGCCCTGTCCTCCAGGAGGGAGGATCCTAGATCCTCTCATGGCAGGGGGGCAGAGAGGCAGAGGGTCCATGCCCCCCTACATTGCCTAAGGGTGCAGTCCCAGTCACCAGGGGGCACCATCGTGAGTGAGTAAGAGATGTCATCACATCTTACCACTGCAGCTTGCAGATTAAGTTTCCTTGTGAAGTTTGGAGGGGACTCTATCACTGCATCATAGTACTACCTAAAAGTAGACTTGCTGGGTCACGTGAGAATTCTGTTTGATGTGGGACTTTCCAGGGTCTGAAGTCAGAGCCCCACCCTTGCCTGGCAGGCACTTTCTTGTTTGAACCGCACCTCCAGTTCTTCTTCCTTTCTTGGTTTTCCAATAGGCCCTTGCTTTTTGCCTGAACTAAGATCCTCCTACGTGTGTATCCATTGTGACTGGTGGCAGGCCACCACCTCTGGTTTGGTGTTTTTGTGTGTGTGTGTGTGTGTGTGTGTGTGAGAGAGAGAGAGAGAGAGAGAGAGAGAGAGAGAGAGAGAGAGAGAGAGAGAGAGAACTGGGGCTTGAACTCAGCTTTCACTCAGCGTTTTCACTCAAGGCTAGCACTCTACCACTTGAGCCTCAACTCTGCTTCTGGCTTTTTACTGGCTAATTGGAAATAAGAGTCTCACAGACTTTTCTTCTGGATCTGTTTTTGCATGATCCTCAGATCTCAGCTTCCTAAGTAGCTAGGATTGCAGGCATGAGCCACCAGTGCTGGCTCGTATTTGACTTTTGGGGACTCTCCCAACCACTTTCCACAGCGCCTAGCCATTTTGCATTCCAGCAGCCCTGTGTAAGGGATGCAGGTTTCCACATCCTCCCATCCTGGAGCCATCCATTCTCTAGTCCCAGCCATCCCATCCTGCTTGGTGTGAAATGGTGAAACGGTGCTTCTAGCATCCAGTTACTAACCGGCCTCTGCTTTGGCCAGCCCTGGGCTTGAGTCCGGCTGGGGCTCTAGGATGTGCTGCATGTGCTCCAGGTGCTGTCTCTGTCCTCCAGGCAGGTACCCAGGGCCTCTCCAGATCTGCAGAGGAGCATCTTCTCCTGGGCACAGAGTGGCAGCCCATTCTGTGTCTGTGCCCAGCACATCAACACTGATTCTTTTCTCTCCAGAGCAGAAATGTGTAAAATACTGCTGGAGGCTGGGGTTCCGGCCTGCCGTTTCCTAGTTAGTGACCTACCCCAGATGCACTCAGAAATGAATAAACCGACTAGCCTCTTTCCTCAGGTCCCAGCCTTGGAGCCAGTGGTCCCAAGGGTAGTACGCTTCCCCACTTTCTTCCCGCTGCTGCTCTTTGCCCTTTACAAATTCTCTGGAATTTTTCCATCAGCAGAGTGAGCCAGACGCTCTGCTTACCCTCCCCCCGTCCCCAGCCCTCAGACTAGAGAGCTGAGGCATAGCCTGGGGCTGGATCACCCCACATCCTGGATCTGTTCCAGGGTACATATCGGCTCCCACAGACAAGGACCCTATCAGTGCCTGTCCCCTGCCTCCTCTGACCAGGCTTGTGAGAAGACCCAGCTGGAGTTCATGTCTGAGCAGTGCGCTCAGACAAACAACCGGCCACTGAGCCTCTCCAGGGACAGCCCCTCCTTCTACCACTGGGGTGCAGCCGCACAGTACAGCCAAGGTAGGATGGGCACAGGGTAGGGCCCTGGAGATCTCTGTTGGCCAGTCACCTGGATTGATTGGCACTGTCACTCTAGGCTGGTTGAGCAGGGCTGAGGCTCAAGCTGTAGTGTCTCATAGGCTGTGGGACTGACCTGGCCTCCCCAGGAGATAGCAGAGGTCCCATCTCTGAGTATCGGTTTTCCCTTCTGAAATAGAGGCAATTTCAATGTCTCCTCTTGGTGTTGCTAGAATGATTCTGGGAAATAATGCAGGGCAAATGCCATATGCTTATGATTTTTTTTTTTTGGTCGGTCATGGGGTTTGAACTGTGGGCCTTAAACTCTGGGCCTGGGTGCTGTCCCTCAGCTCTTCAGCTCAAGGTTAATGCTCTACTACTTGAGCCACAGCACCACTTTCAGTTTTCTAGTGGTTCATTGTCGATAAGAGTCTCACACTTTCTTGCCTGGGCTGGCTTTGAACTGTGATCTTCAGGTCTCAGCCTCCTGAGTAGCTAGGATTACAGGCGTAAGCCACAGAAGCGTGACTCATGTACTTACGATTTGATCATGTAAAGAGATATGTAAAGGATGCAGCTGGAGGGGCTGGTGGAAGAGGGCGGAGCCTGGGGAAGGAGGGAGGGGCTGAAGGAGGAAGGAGGGGCTTTGAGAAGGAGGTCACTTGGACCTTGCCAAGTGGCCATGGAAGGTTCCAGAGAGGCTTCCCAGTCCAGCTCCCTGCCCTTCTTGCCCATCTCACTTGAGTGACCCTCTCGGTGTCCTCTGCCTTCCCAGGGGACGCTCTCTGTGGCCACCTGTGCTGGGCAGTGGGCGAAAGCTTCATGGTGAGGCGTGGAGACAGATTCGTGGATGGGACCCGGTGTGTGCGGGGCCGCCCTCACCAGGACGGGACGCTGAGCCTCTGTGTGTCGGGCAGCTGCAGGGTAGGAACCAACCTGCCCAGCCCTGTGTCCCTGAGGCCTGCCTGCGCTCTGCCAGCTCCTGAGGGGAGGGTACACGCAGGCTGCCGTCCAGTGGGCCGGTCCTGTGGTCTGCAGGGCTGGAGACGGCAGTCCATGCCTGGAGCGAGGCAAGTCCTGTGAGCCTCGGAGCTCTCTCTGTGGACGGAAGGAGCTGCAGGGGTGCGGCCGCGGGCTGTGGTGCAGGGAGACCATCACCTCCATGACACCAGTCTGTGCTGCCCCCCCCCCCCGCCCAGGCGTTTGGCTGTGATGGCAGGATGGACTCCCTGCAGGTATGGGATGCGTGCCAGGTGTGCGGAGGGGACAACAGCACGTGCAGCCTGCGGAATGGCTCTTTCACAGCCGGGAGAGCCGGAGGTAGGGGCCGCCCTCCGGTGGAGCGTGGGTCTCCTGCCAGTGCCTGGAGCCTTGGCACAGGCTGCACGGGGCACAGGACCCGATGCCCGATGCTCACTCGGCACGTCTCCGTCCATCCTGCCCTGGTGCCCTCCACCGCAGGCTCAGAATGTGGTGAGGTGGTTGGCTCAGGTTGGGGCACTCAGTGACCCATTCCCTGTGTGGCTACGCAGGTCTCCTCCCTCCTCCGACAGGAAATCCCAGCAGCAGGACGCTGTGGACAGCTGGGCTGTCACACGGGGTCATCCTTCACTCTGGCCTATTTGAAACAGAAGTCGGACCCAGGTGTTGGTGGCTCATGCCTGGAATCTTAGCTACTCAAGAGCCTGAGATCTGGGCTGGGAAGGTGGCTCAGTGGTAGAGTGCTTGCCTTGCATGCATGAGGCCCTGGGTTCTATTCCTCAGCACCACATAAACAGGAAAAAACCTGGAAGTGGCGCTGTGGCTCAAGTGGTAGAGCTCTAGCATTCAGCTGAAGAGCTGAGGAGCTGAGGGACAGCGCCCAGACCCAGAGTTCATCCCCCATGACTGACCAAAAAAAAAAGCCTGAGATCTAAGGATTATGGTTCAAAGCCAGCCCAGTCTGGAAAGTCTGAGACTCCTATCTCCAACTAACCTCCAAAAAGCTGCAAGTAGAGCTGTGGCTCAGTGGTAGAGTGCTATCCCTGAGTAGAAAAGCTCAAGGACAGCACCCAAGCTTTGAGTTCAAATCCTAGAACTGATGTATGAGCACGTGCAGGCGGGCACGTGCATGCGTGTGCGCGTACACACATTCACACACACAATAGAAAATCATGTGCCAGGGCAGTGTTCCATGGTCAGTGGAGGCCTGCCGCCCTGCCGCCCACTGCTGTGCCCACTGCCTGCAAACCTGATCCTGGCGCCTGGCTCCTGGTCTGGGCACTGCCCTGGCAGGTGGTCTTTCAGCCTGTGGCTCCTCATGTGGCCGGGAGCAACCCTCGACATTGTCTGCTCCTCTCTGTCCAGCTCCCTGTGACTGCTGTGTAGGTGGCCGCCAGGCCCACCTGGCTCACGGCCATTCTGCCTCTCCCTAGAGTACGTCACGTTCCTGATGGTCACTCCCGGCATCACTGGGGTGCACGTCGTCAACCGCAGACCTCTCTTCGCGCACTTGGGTGAGTGTGCCTGGAAACCCCTCCTGCACTTAGCCACACATCTTAGTCCCCAACATGCCTTCACCTGTGACACCTCCTAACTACCCCACTGCCGTATTCCAAGTGTGCTTAACCTGGGGAGGGAGGAAATGAAGAGAGGGACAGGTGGAGGGTCAAGGTTGAAAGAGACCTGGGACTGAACCTGGGCAGAGTGTTAGCGTGAAGGTTCCCTGTGCCAGGACTGTGGAGCCTTCTACCATCCAGACATGACATACTTGGGTGATGGGTCAACTGAGGAGGCCCTAGACCAGGGATCACAGTTCTTATTGGAGCAGGGTGCTGGTGGCTCACTTCTGTGGTCCTGGCTACTCAGGAGGCTGAGATCTGAGGATCCAGGCTTGAACTCTGAGCCTGGGTGCTGCCCCTGAGCTTCTTTTGCTCAAGGCTACCACTCTACTACTTGAGCCACTGCACCACTTATGGCCTTTTCTGTGATTTAATTGGAGATAAGAGTTTCAAGGACTTTCCTGCCAGGGCTGGCTTCAAACTGTAATCCTCTGATCTTAGTCTCCTGAGCAGCTAGGATTATAGGCAGGAAGCCACTGGCAAGCCTAGTTTTAATTTTCTTTTGCAGATAAAGATTGAGTGCCTGGTGGCTCACCTGGATAGCACCACTCCAGGTGATCCAAAGCCCTACCTCACATCCAGTTGCTGTCTTTCTGGCATAGCCAGTCCAGACATTGGGCCTGCTAGTGTTGCCAGACCCCCTCAGCTCTGGGGAGGCCCTTCCCTACCCTGGATAGAGATACGCCCCCACATGAGACCTCTGCTTCTCCTCAGAAGGCCTGCACAGAGGCTGGACCTCTCTTGGGGAAGGCCAGGCTTCTGTACTATGCCATTCCTTGATGGGTCTTTATTTCTCAAGGGCACTTACTCTTGACCTTTTTTTTAAAAAAATAATTTTCTTTATTGTAATTATAAAGGTGATGCACAGAGGGTCTGCAATTACATGAGTCAGGTAGTGAATACATTTCCTTTCATACAGTGTCTCCTCTCCCCTCACTCTTTCCCAGTCCCTCCTTCCTGCTACTTTCATAGGTGTCCAGTGAGCTCCACAGCTACATTTTTTTCATCCTTTTTCCCTCAAGTTCTGTGTCTTCCTGAAGAGATACACTTGAATATACCATACATAAAGAAAACAATCACAAGAAGAGAGGTCTTTTGTTTCCATATCTTGGAGTTTGTTTATATATATATATATATATATATATATATAATTTTATATACATATGAAAAGGCATGTAGACATTGCACCTTTTTGTTTCTCTCCTAAAACTCTCTTCTTTTGGTGTCACTGTATGTGCATATCTAGAATCTGGTATACTTTGTCCTATCCCAGTGCATTTTGGATATAACTTCTGCACATCAGGGAGAACCTGTGCAGTTGGTCTCTCTGATCTTGGCTTACCTCACTTAACATGATTTGTTCTAGTTCCATCCATTTCCCTGCAAATGACATTATTTCTTTCGAATGGCTGTGTAAAATTCCATTGTGTACAGGTACCCCATTTTGGGGATCCTCTCCTCTATTGTGGGGTATCTGGGCTGTTTCCATGGCTTGGCTATTGTGAGTAGTGTGGCAGTGAGCATGGATGTGCAGGTGTCTTTATCATAGCCTGGCTCGTGATGGTCAGGGTAGATGCCCAGGAGTGGTATGGCTGGTCACAGGGAATTTTCGTTTTTGAGGAACCTCCAGACTGCTTTCCAGAGTGGTTGTACTAGTTTATATTCCCACCAGCATTTGCTATTGTTCAACTTCAAAATGTTGGCCAATCTAACTGGGGTGAGATGGAATCTCAGGGTGGTTTTGATTTGCATTTCCTTTACAAGCATTTCTTTACTGTTCTTACCTCTTCTGAGAAGTCTCTCCTTAGCTCCCTTGCCCATTTCCTGATTGGTTTATTTGGTTTGGGAGAGGTTAGTTTCTTGAGCTCCTTGTATATATTGGATTTTAGGTCTTTCTCTGGTATATTGCTGGTAAAGATCTTCTCCCAGTCTGTTGGCTGTCTTTCTAGTTTAGTAACTATGTCCTTAGCTGTACAGAATCTTTTTATTTTGATGGTCCGCTGATCAAATCTCCTATCTGTTGTGCCCCTGGGACTCTTCAAGAAGTTTCTTCTAGGGACTGGGAAGGTGGCTCAGTGGTAGAGTGCTTGCCTCTCATGCATGAGGCCCTGGGTTCGATTCCTTAGAACCATATAAGCAGAAAAACCCAGAAGTGGCTCTGTGGCTCAGGTGGTAGGGCACTAGCATTGAGCTGAAGAGCTGAGGGACAGTGCCCAGGCCCAGAGTTCAGTCCCCATGACTGACCCAAAAAAAAAAAAAAGTTTCTTCTACACTTATAACTTCTAATGTTTCTCCTACTCTCTCCTGCAGTCATTTCACAGTTTTGGGCCTGATGTTGAAGTCTTTGATCTACTTTGAATTGATATTAGTGCATGGTGACACATGGATCCACTTTTAGTTTTCTGCATATGAATGCACAGTTTTCCCAACACCAACTATTGAAGAGGCTGTTTTTTCCCACAGTATGTCTTTAGCTCCCTAATCAAATATCAGATAACTGTAAGTGTATGGTTTTATTTCTGGGTCTTCTAATCTGGTTTATTGATCTTCAGGTCTATTTTTGTGCCAATACCAAGCTGTTTTTGTTATTATAGCTCTGTAATAGAGCTTGAGGTCTGGTATTGTGATACTGCCTGCATTATTATTATTTTTTTACCTGGAATTGCTTTGAATATTTGTTGTTCCATATGAATTTTTGGGTTATTTTGTCTATCATGGTAAAGAATGTCATTGGGATTTTGATGAGTATTGCATTGAATTTGTATATCATTTTTGGTAGGATGGCCATATTCACAATATTGACTGTACCCATTTTCTGGTGGCCTCTTCGATTTAATTCTTCAGATTTTTATAGTTTTTAACTATAAAGATCTTTTATGTCTTTAGTTAGGTTTATTTCTAGGTATTTTTGTTTTTGAGGCCATTGCAAATGGAGTTGTTTTCATGATTTTCCTTTCTGCTTATACATGGTTGACATACCAAAAGGCTACTGATTTTGGGGGGTTAAGTTTGCCAAAATGACTGATCAGCTCTAGGAGCTTGGGGGTGGAGTCTTTTAGTCTCTTTAGGTATAAGATCATATTGTCTGAAAATAGGGATAGTTTGACTTCATTCCTTATGTGAATCCCTTTTATGTCCTTGTCTTGCTTTATTGCTCTGGCTAGGAATTCCAGAACTATATTGCCTTGATTCTGATTTTAGGTGAAATGGTTTTAGTTTTTACCATTCTGTATGACATTGGCTATTAGTCCATCATATATAGCCTTCCATTACTTTAAGGAATGTTCCTTTTATTCCTAGCTTTTCCAAAGCTTTTTGTTTTTTGTTTTGTTTTTGCCGGTCATGGGGTCTGAACTCTGGGCCTGGGCGCTGTCCCTCAGCTCTGCAGCTCAAGGCTAGCGCTCTACCACTTGAGCCACAGCGCCACTTCCATTTTCCAAAGCTTTTAACATGAATGGATGTTGTATTTTGTTGAACATTTTTTCTGCCACTGTTGAGAGGATCATGTGGTTCTTGACTTTGGTTCTGTTGATATAGTGAACTACACTTATTTATTTATGTGTGTTAAACCAGTCTTGCATCTGTGGGATGAAGCCTACTTGGTCATAATGTATGATTTTTTTTTTTTAGTTTCTGGATTCTCTTGGCTAGTATTTTATTGAGGAGCTTTGTGTTCATCAGAGAAATTGGTCTATTGTTTTCTTTTTTTGTTGGATCTTTACCTGGTTTTGGGATGAAGATGACATTGGCTTCAAAGAATGAGTTTGGAATTGCTTCCTCTGTTTCTATTTCATGGAAAACTTTGAGGAGTATTGGTGTTAGTTCATCATTAACTGTCTTATAGAATTCAGCAGTGAATCCATCTGGGCCTGGGCTTTTCTTTGTTGGAAGACTTCTGATTACTTCCTCAATCTCATTGCATGTTATTGGCCTGTTTAACTGGTTTATATTTTCTTGGTTCAGCTGGCAGTTTGTATGTCTCTAGAGATTTGTCCATTTCTGCTAGGTTTTCCTTCTTATTTGACCATAGGTTTTGAAAGTTCTTTATAATTGCTTGGGTTTCTTGGGTGTTTCTTGTAATGTTTCCTGTGGAATCTCTAATTTTATTGGTTGAATATTGTCTCTTTGTCCATCTCAGTAGAGATCTGTCAATTTTATTGATTTTTTTTCAAAGAACCGATTTTTGTTGATTTTATGTACAGTTTTTTTTTTTTTTTCTTGTCGGTTGTGGGGCTTGAACTCTGGGCCTGGGCACTGTCCCTCAGCATTTCAGCACAAGGCTAGTGCTCTACCTCTTGAGCCGCAGCACCATTTCTGGTTTTCTGAGTGGTTTATTGGAGACAAGAGTCTCAAGGCCTTTCCTGCCCAGGCTGGCTTTGAACTGTGATCCTTAGATCTCAGCCTCCTGAATAGCTAGGATTACAGGTTTGAGCCACTGGTGCTGGGCTTTATGTACAGTTTTTAAAGTCTCTGTTTCATTAATTTCTGCCCTAATCTTTGCTATCTTTGTCCCTCTAGTAGTTTGGGATTGTTTTGTTCTTGTTTTTCTGGCAGTTTTGGTTGCATCATGAGGCTATTGAGCTATTTCTATTTTCTCTATGTGTGCACTTAGAGCTATAAATTTTCCTCTCAGCACTGCTTTTGCTATGTCCCAGAGGTTCCACTGTGATACGTTTTTTCACTGAAGTGTAGGAGCTTTAGTAACCCATGTGTTATTCAGTGGTGTGTTATTTGGTCTCCATGTGTTTAGTGTTTTCTGCAATATGTTTTGTTGTTGAGAACTAGTTCAATTCTACTGTGGTCAGATAGCATGCAAGGAATTATCTTAATCCTCTTGTATTTGCTTAGGTTCTGGTGTGTCCTATGATATGATCCATCTTGGAAAATGTTCTCTGGGCTGCTGAGAAGCTTGTGAGTTGGGTGGAAAACTCTGTAGATACCGATTAAGTCCATTTGTACTCTTGACCATTGAACTCAGAGAGGGTTTGTACTCTTGACCATTGAACCCAGAGAGGGAGTGCTGGCGCTGAGTCCTCGAGTCTGTGTATTGAAGCTTCGTAGGTGGGATGTCGGCCAGAGGTGTATGTACACAGAGAGGGGTCTCTCATGTTAGAGACCATCAGTCTGAGGCAGGAGGGAGACCTGGCTGTGAGGATTTTATCCTGCACCCTTCCCCAGCCCAGGGCCTCCTCTGTGAGGGGTGGTGCCAGCCGGGTGAACTGCTGCACAGTGCTGATGGCCTTCTTCCCACAGCCGTGAGGATCCAAGGGCACTATGTCGTGGCTGGGAAGGCTAGCATGTCCCCCAGCACCACCTACCCATCCCTCCTGGAGGACAGCCGTGTGGAGTACAGAGTGACCCTCACTAAGGACCGGCTGCCTCGCCTTGAGGAGATCCACATCTGGGGACCTGTCCAGGAAGACATGGAGATCCAGGTCCCCAGGCGGGCGGGTGGCTGCGGTGGAGGTCCAGGCCCCTAGGTGGGCGGGGTGGCCAACGGTGGAGGTCCAGGCTCTCGAGTGTCAGGCCGCTGGGCAGCCATAAGGTCCCCAGGATCTTCACAGTGTTTGTGTGGACTTCAGCTCTCCCTCTGGAAGCACATGCTAGGTTGGCCTCTCCCCCAACCACCGCTCCTGCCTTGCCTGGCTACTGCCAGCCTCCCCCTCCCTGTGAAGCTGGGGCCCCTGCTCCATGCTCCCATCATGCCCTGCTCCAACCCATCCACAGCTCCTGGAGGCTCAGTCCTGTGTGCTGTGCTGTCTGTCCCAGGAGCCTGGGGCTATGGTGTCCAGCAAGGGTGTCCCAGGGCAGAGGGCTGTGACCCCAGGGAGCCCGCTGGGCTGGGGCTGAGCTCTCCTCTGTGTGTCTGCAGGTTTACAGGCAATATGGGGAGGAGTATGGACCCCTCACCCAACCAGACATCATCTTCACCTACTTCCAGCCCAAGCAGCAGGGAGCCCGCGTGTGGGCTGCCGTGCGTGGGCCCTGCTCGGTGAGCTGTGGGGCAGGTGAGGCCCAGGGCAAGGCTCGGCTGCAGCCCCGCTTGGCGCCCCCCCCCACCACCAAGGCGGCTAAGCCCTTGCCCTGCTCTCCAGGGCAGCTCTGGGTAAACTACAGATGCCTGGACCAAGCCCAGAATGAGTGGGTGGACACTGCCCAGTGCCAGGGGAGCCCACAGCCGCCGGCGTGGACAGAGCCCTGTGTTTTCCCGCCCTGCCCCCCATAGTAAGTGCTGAGCTGGGCAGCTGGGCGGGCCCGGTCGCATCTGTGCCCGCGCTCTATTGGTGTGAGGGAGACTCCAGCACTGGCCTCACTCTGCAATACTGAGGCTGGGGACATACAGGGTAGCAGTGACAGCTGGGTTTGACCCCTTGACACCTTGTCTAGGCCACCTGAGGCCTCTGGAGCTCAGGTGTCACTGCTGGCGATGGTGGGTGGCCCCCATGGGATGGAGGTAAGGTGTCTCGGGGCCTGGTGGGAAGCCCGTGGCCTCTGCTGCACCGGGCAGGTGCAGGTGGTCACAGCACAGTGTTAGAGACGAGGACACCTTGCCAGGCACAGGACTAGGTGGCCGACTGCTGGCAAGATTGGCCCCTGTCTCCAGGCTCTGGCGTGTGGAAGGGCAAGTTCTTCAAGGTTGGCCCTGAGAAGTCTGGACAGATTTGCCTGCCTCCCACTCTGTCTCCCAGAACCAGCCTCGAGACCTGACCCGGGCCTGACGCTCTCCTCTCCTCTCCTCTCCTCCTCAGCTGGGCAGCAGGAGACTTTGGTCCGTGTAGCGCTTCCTGTGGGGGAGGCCTGCGGGAGCGGCTGCTGCACTGTGTGGAGGCCCAGGGTGGCCTCCTGAGGACGCTGCCTCCTGCCCAGTGCCGAGCAGTGGCCCACAAGCCAGTGCCCGAGGTGGAAACCTGCAACCACCAGCCCTGCCCAGCCAGGCGAGTGTGGGTGAGCTTCTCGGCAGGTCCTGCCCTGTGCCAAGGCCTCTGGCTAGCCCCACCCTGAGGACCCGGAGCTTACAGGTGCCAGCTTCAGACTCACTCACTGCCCAAGAGACCCTGGCTCCTGCTTTCTAAATCCTCATCCTCTGCTCTGAAGAGGAGCGAGAGGCTGTGCGCAGAACAGCTGTGACCACGGTGACACTAACTGTACAGTAGGTGCTTTATCCCCTGTGTCTTATCCCCTTCAGATCTAAACTTATTTACCTTTTTTTTTTTTTTTTTAGTTCAGGGCTTTTCAAATTCTAGGCCGATGCTGTGCCACTTGAGCCACAGCATGGGTTTTTTGGGGTTTTTTTGTTTTGCTTTTTTTGTCCAGGGTAGCCTCAAGCTGTAATCATTTTACCTCTTACTTACCCAAGTAGCTTGGATCTCTGTATGAGCTGCTAAGCCTGGTTGTTTTTTTTTTTTGTTTTTTTTTGGGTCCGGTCGTGGGGCCTGAACTCTGGGCCTGGGCGCTGTCCCTCAGCTCTTCAGCTCAAGGCTAGCGCTCTACCACTTGAGCCACAGCACCACTTCCGGCTTTTTTCTTTTTGCTTATGTGGTGCTGAGGAATCGAACCCAGGGCCTCAGGCATGCAAAGCAAGCGCTCTACCACTGAGCCACCTTCCCAGCCCTTGTTTTTGTTTTTGTCTTGGATTTTTTTTTTTTTTTTTGTCCTGGGGCTTGAATTCAGGGCCTGGTTGAGGTCCCTAAGCTTTTGTGTTTAAGGCTAGTGCTCTACCACTTGATCCACAGCTCCACTTCAGGCTATTTATTTACTTTTGCCTGTCCCAGGGCTTGAACTCAGGGTCTGGGCATTGTGGTGCTCCAGGCAGGTGCTCCGCCCAGGCCTGCAGGCGCCTCTGCTCCTCCAGATTGGAGCCGTGACTCTTGATTGGGAGCTATGATGGCACATGGCCACTGACTCCTTGAGACTCCCAGCAGTGGTACACGGGCATAGTGTCAGGAAGGTGGGCTCTGGCTCCTCACACCCTGGCACCACACTGCCTGGCAGGGGCAGGAACTGATGGTGGCTCTGTGCTGTCCTCAGGCAAGGAGTGTCAGGCCCTGGCCAGAGCACAACACGCACGCAGGGGGCCGGGGGCTTGGAGGCAGCTGAGACACCACCCGCTCCTGAGCCTTGTGTCGGAAGGGCCTGTCCTCCAGGCGGGGCTCAGGTGAGTGGCCTGCGTGGGGGGCGGGGGGTGCTGGGACCTGGGCCCTTCCCTGGGAGAAGGAGCGTGCCTTGCCACCATCCTGCGGAGCAGAGGAACGGCCCTGTCCCACAGGGCATCCTGAGGGTCAGTCCAGGCTGGACAGAGACAGACCAGTTAGAAGCACCAGCTGAGGAGGGGACCATTCATGCCAGAAGTGCTGCCAGGTACCCTGGCATCTCAGGGCGCAACGCCGAGTGACCTCACACTCAGGAGCTGGCCAATCCTGAACACTCATGGGCTAGGGGTCACGGGGCCAAGCATACTTGATCCCCCTCCTCCATCCCCAGCTCAGCCCCACCCCACCTCACAGAGAGCGCCTGCATGGGTACAGGACCCACAAGGACAAAGCGGGACCGGTGGAGAAGGCATCACTGGCAGGGCGCGGGACAGGAGGGAGTCCTGCCTCCTCCCTCTCCTGAAACATGGGGGCATGGGGGAGGGGAACGGGTGCCCAGGTGGAGTGGGAATCCCAGGCCAGCCAGCGCATCGAGCTCTCCCCGCAGGTGGACACCACATCTCCGGCAGAGGAGGCTCCATTCCCAACAGGCAGCATCAGGCCAGGGGCTGTGCATGTGTGGACTCCGCTGGTGGGGCCATGCTCTGTCTCCTGTGGGCGAGGTGAGCTCCCCAGGCCACCCCTCAGAACACCACTCATCCTTACCTGTTGTACCTTCCTGTGCTCCACCCAGCTCTAACGAGAGAGTTCAGGTGGCTTGCAGAAAGCACAAACCACATCCACATAGGCTGTGTGAAGAGACCTGTGAGGGACCAGCCTCACAGCTGCTCTAAGTGCATTCACTGATTGGCTGAGACAGGGACTGACCTCACAGCTGCTCTAAGTGCATTCACTGATAGGTTGAGGCAGGGAGGGAGCCCACAGCTGCTCTAAGTTCATTCACTGATTGGCTGAGAGACAGGGCAGTACTGACAGGTGCTCTAAATGTGTTCACTGGTTGGCTGAGAGACAGGGAGGGACCCGAAAGCTGCTTGCTTGTAATATAGTGATTGGCTGAGAGACAAGGAAAGAAAGAAAGCAACCCTGCTAAGACTGGTACCCAAGAACATCCAAACCGACCACTAAAGCAGAGAGACAGGTTTTAAAAAATGTATTTATTTATGTATATATTTTAATTTAATTTGTGTTGCTATTACAAGGGTGTCGTGCAAAGGGGTTACAGTTACCTAAGTCAGGTCAAGCAAGAGCACATTTCTTTTTGGACAATGTCACTCCTTTCCTTGCTCTCTCCCAGTATTTCCCTCCTGTCCGCACCCAGAGAGACAGTTTTTAAATTAATTGACTTTTTTGTTATTATAGAGGTGATATACAGAGGAGTTACATTTACATGCATCAGGTAATAAGTGCGTTTCCTTTTTTTTTTTTTTTGGTCCAGTCATAGGCCTGAACTCTGGGCCTGGGCGCTGTCCCTCAGCTCTTCAGCTCAAGGCTAGCGCTCTACCACTTGAGCTACAGTGCCACCTCTGGCTTTTTTTTTTTTTAATCTGCTTATGTGGTGCTGAGGAATCGAACCCAGAGCCTCATGCATGCAAAGCAAGTGCTCTACCACTGAGCCACCTTCCCAGGCCAGTCCATTTCCTTTCATACAGTGTCATCTGTTCCCTCATTCTCTCCCATCCTCTCCCTCCCGTTTCCACCTACAAGTGTGTAGTCCTCTTTTATTTATTTATTTATTTTTTGGTCGGTCATGGGGCTTGAACTCTGGGCCTAGGCATTGTTCCTCAGCTCTTCAGCTCAAGGTGAGTGCTCTACCACATGAGCTACAGCGCCACTTCCGGTTTTCTGGTGGTTTATTAAAAATAAGAGTTTCATGGACTTCCCTGCCTAGGCTGGCTTTGAACCGGGATCCTCAGATCTCAGCCTCCTGAGTAGCTAGGATGACAGGCGTGAGCCCCCGGCCCCCGGCTTGTAGTCCACTTTTATCAGTGTCCAGTGCACTCCACTGCTGCACTTTTTCACCGGATTCTGTGCCCTCCCCCACCCCCCCAGATATGCACATGAATATATTATATATAAGTGAAGAACTCAGAATCATCAGCAAAAGGAAAAACAATTTAAAAAAAAAGCCCTTTGTTCTCATGTTTGAGTTTGTTTCAGTATGTATTTTTTTTTTTTTTTTTGTCGGTCGTGGGGCTTGAACTCTGGGCCTGGGCGCTGTCCCTCAGCTCTTCAGCTCAAGGAGAGCGCTCTACCACTTGAGCTACAGGGCCACTTCCGGTTTTCTGGTGGTTTATTGGACATAGGAGTCTCATGGTCTCTCTTGCCCGGGCTCGCTTTGAACCGCGATCCTCAGATCTCAGCCTCCTGAGTAGCTAGGATTACAGGCGTGAGCCACCAGCGCCCGGCTACAGTATGTATTATTTTTTATTTTTATTATTATTATTTTTTTTGGGTCCAGTCGTGGACCTGAACTCTGGATCTGGGCGCTGTCCCTCAGCTCTTCAGCTCAAGGCTAGTGCTTTACCACTTGAGCCACAGCGCCACTTCCGGTTTTTTTTTCCTGCTTAAGTGGTGCTGAGGAATGGAACCCAGAGCCTCATGCATGCAAGGCAAGCATTCTACCACTGAGCCACCTTCCCAGCCCCTGTATATTATTTTATATACATTTAAAGAGACACTTGGGTATTGTGCCTTTGTGATTCTCTCCTAAGAAAGAATCTTTTGGTCTCACTGTATGTGAGTATCTAGAATCATTTAGATTTAACTGCTGCATATCAGAGAAAGCATGACCATTTGGCTCGGAGAGACAGTTTTAAGACTTAAAGTGTTCTTTCATTTTTCCAGTTTTTAATTGTGGTACAATACACATATGATAAAAAGTTATCATTTTAACTTTAAGTGTTCCATTCACTGGCACTAAGCACATTCACAGTGTTGTGCAGAGATTCCTTCCCCCTGTCTTCCTCCCTCCTCCCCGTCTCCCCCACCTCCCCTGGCACTGTGTGTCCATCTCCATTAAACCCTAAGCCCCACCCCACGCCAGCAGCCCACACTCCACCTTCTGTCTGTATGGATGGGACTCCTCTAGGGACCTCTTAGACATGGGTCCTCTAGGATCTGCCCTGTGGGACTGGCTATCCCACTGACCTCCAGGCCGGTCCGTGTCATGGCTGGTGTCACAATCTTCTTTCTAAGGCTGTAAAGTGGCCCACTGCAGGTGGAGATCACGCTGTTTATCTGTTCTGCATGGACAGACACTGGCTTGCGTCCTAATTTCAGCTGGGCTGCATACAAGTGTGGAACTGTTTCCTTGAGTCTTTGGGTGTGGAACTGTGCTTTCACAGGGTCAGTTTGTTGTTGTTATTGTTTATTATTTTGTGCCAGTACTGGGGCTTGAACCAGGGCCTTGAACTGTTGCTTGGCGTTTTGTTCTTGTTCCTAGATGATGCTCTGCCACTTTAGCCATGTCTCTAGTTCTGTTCTTTTGTTAGTTAATTGGAGATAAGTCTCAAAGTTTTATCTGTCTTGGCTGGCTTTGAACAGTGACTCTCCCAGCTCAGCCTCCTGAGTAGCTAGGATTACAGGCATGACACTGTGACTAGGTATTTTATTTTTTGGCTGTGGGGCTTGAACTCTGGGCCTGGGCGCTGTCTCTGAGGTTTTTTTTTTGCTCAAGGCTAGTGCTCTATCACTTGAGCATCTGCACCACTTCTAGCATCTTTGAGTAGTTTATTAGAGATAAGAGTCTCTCCGGGGCTGGGAAGGTGGCTCAGTGGTAGAGCGCTTGCCTTGCATGCATGAGGCCCTGGGTTCGATTCCTCAGCACCACATAAACAAAAAAAAGCCAGAAGTGGCGCTGTGGCTCAAGTGGTAGAGTGCTAGCCTTGAGCTGAAGAGCTGAGGGACAGCGCCTAGGCCCAGAGTTCAGGCCCCATGACCAGACCCCCCCCCCTCAAAAAAAAAAAGAGTCTCTCCCTCTGTCCTACCCTGGCTAGCTTGGAACAGCAATTCTCAGATCTTAGCTTCCTGAGTAGATAGAATTATAGGTGTGAGCCAGGAGGGCCCAGCTACCAGCTTTTGTTTATATTGTTTTGACGGGTTTTTTTTCTCTGAAGCTAGCCCAGGCTGGCCTTGAACTTTTGCTCCTCCTGCTTCAGTCTCCAAATGCTAAAATTACAGATATGGCTTTCCACACATGACTTATTCTCTGGGTTCTAAAAAGTTTTAATGTCAGTAGCAGTGTCCCAAAGGGTTGAGATCTTGCACAGTGTTCCCCTTTTCTGTATGGGATTTGAACTCAAGGCCTCACACTTGCTAATAACCAGGTGCTCTACCATCTGAGCCACACCTCTAGCCCTCACAGTATTCTTTTTTTTTGCCAGTCCTGAGGCTTGAACTCTGGGCCTGAGCACTGTCCCTAAGCTTCTTTTTGCTCAAGGCAAGCGCTCTACCACTTGAGCCACAGCACCACTTCCAGCTTTTTCTGTGTATGTGGTACTGAGGAATTGAACCCAGGGCTCCATGCATACTAGGCAAGCTCTCTACCACTGAGCCACATTCCCTGCCCTCTCACAGTATTCTTGAACTACTCACACTTCAGCATGTTTAGAACTGAGACCAGGAAGTTTCCTTTTGAAGCTGTTCCTGGTGGAGATGGGAGAAACCAGCACTAATGTCTTTATGACAATCACAGAAAGATGGAAAGGCAAACTGCAGCTTTTGTCTGTGTGCACCAGTTACTCCACAGTTCCCTTTAAAAAAGTGTGTGTGTGTGTGTGTGTGTGTGTGTGTGTGCGCGTGCGCGTGCGCATGCATGCACTGATCCTGGGGCTTGAACTCAGGACCTGGGTGCTGTTCCTTAGCTTTTCCTCTCAAGGCTGGCACTCTACCACTTGAGCTACAGCTACACATCTGGCTTTTGATGTTTAATTGGAGACAAGAGTCTCTAGACTTTGTTGCCAAGATGGCTTTGAACCACGATCCTCAGGTCTCAGCTTCCTGAGTAGCTAGGGTTACAGGTGTGAGCCACTGGCGCCTGACATTGACTTTGTATTGTGTGTCAAAATATTTACACATGACTGCAAGGTAGATGTCACCATATGGAAGCAGCTGAGGTTCAGAGAGGTTAGATCAGTTGCCCAAGGGCACACAGCTTTCAGTTGGCAGTCATGGCTCCGCCTGCCACGAGCCAGGTGTGTGATTCTTGCTGAGTCCATCTCTGCAGGTGAGGGGTCCCTGCTTCCTCCTCGCAGGCTCCATGAACCTTCACTTCCTGTGCATGGATTCTGTGCTCCGGACACCTGTCCAGGAAGACCTATGTGACCTGGCCACCAAGCCGGGGACCCGGCAGGAGGTCTGCCAGGCTGACCCATGTCCTGTTAGGTGAGTGGGAGAGGAAAACTTCAGGGGAAGGAGTCTGGCAGGGGTGGGGTAATCTACAGAGCTCCAGCCTTCCTTCTGCAGGTGGGAGGTCTCTGCCCTGGCACCATGTCCAGTGGCCTGTGGAGTGGGGCAGGGGCCTCTGTGCGCTATGTGAGGCTAGTTCTCAGATATTGCTACGGCCACCCTGTTCTAGAACGTTCCAGGGATGCCTTTGCTCCAGGCTCCAGGTTCCTGCACCTCTGCACCTCACAGTCTGCTGTGCACTGTCTGGGTCCCCTCAAGGCTCCCTGCCACCGGCATTACGAGATTATGAGGGGAAATGCCTCCAGGGTGACTTGCTCAGCCCACCCTGGCGGACCCCTGAGCTCTTCACAGCACTGCCCTCCCCCCCCCCCCCCCCCCGCATCTGTGTCTCTGCTCATGTCCTCTCTCCTTGCATGGACCTGGGCCGTGGTATCCCCACCAGGGGCGATCCTGCCTTCTGGGGGCATTTTGACAATGTCAGCGATTTCAATGGTCACAAATGGGCAGAGGGATTTGCTAGCGGCCCCTCGTGGGCAGAGGCCAGGGGTACAACTGCCTGGCCTGCAATGCACCTGACAGGCCCCCAGCACAGAGGGCCATGCAGATGTCTCTGATGCCAAGGCCCTGATTCTAGAATAAAGCTGGGCTCATGGAAGGACTGGTCCAGGCATCGGGAGGGTGGAGGAAGGTTGCCTGGTTTACATCTGGGCTCTGAGAAATGGTGGCTCCATTTGCTGAGTGATTCCAAATTAAGATAGTCAGGGCTTGGGCTGGGAAGGTGGCTCAGTGGTAGAGCACTTGCCTTGCATGCATGAGGCCCTGCGTTCAATTCCTCAGCACCACATAAGCAGAAAAAGCTGGAAGTGGCGCTGTGGCTCAAGTGGTAGAGTGCTAGCCTTGAACTGTGAAGAGCTCAGGGACAGCGCCCAGGCCCAGAGTTCAGGGCCCACGACCAACCAAAAAGAAAAGAAAAAAAAGATAGGCAGGACTGAGAGTGGACTTCCCGGGAGGCCATGTGGGGTGCCCATTACTGTGGGACACCACCTCCTATCCCTGTCACTTGGCCATCAAGCAGCTCAGGGGGCAGAAGACAAGTATTAGGTGGTATGTGGCCAAAGGGAGAAGAGATGTGTTTCCTGCGGAGCCCTCCTGAGCCTGGCTGGTCCAGGAAGGTTCCACGGCCAAATTTCCCGTCCCCTGGCTCTGGGACCCATCGAAGCAACTCTGGAAGGAGATGGGGGGTTCTGAGCCTGCGTGGACAGCCCCGTCTTCCAAGAGGCCCAGTTCCCCCGGGGTCTTCTCCCTGCAGGTGGAAGGTCCTGTCCCTCGGTCCATGTTCAGCCAGCTGTGGTCTTGGCACTGCCGCACGCACCGTAACCTGTGTCCAGCAGGACCGGGGGCAGGACACTGAGGTGGACGAGGCGCTGTGTGCGGCCTTGGTGCGGCCCCAGGCCAGCGTCCCCTGCCTCACTGCCCACTGTGCCTACCAGTGGCACATCGGCACCTGGACACCGGTGAGGACCCTGGAGGAGGGGGGGGTCTGTTGGGGGCAGTGCCTTGAACCAGAAGGCACAGCAAGGCCTAGGGTCCTGGGGCAGCGAGGCCGTGAGAGGCCCAACAGTTCAGTGCCACAACCAGTCAATGCCATACCGTGCCAGGAAGAGACCAAGGTGAATAGGGCACAGAAGACAGCCACGCCCACCTCCGTCCGAGGGACCCCGGGCATCTGGGCCTGGCAGAGATGAGGGCTGGCATGAAGTAGTAGAACACATGGGTGCCACAGGGACTGATGGAATGTGGGTGGAGATCAGCTGGCGGAGCGTATGGGCCCCGCTGTAAGGCTTGGCGGGGAGAGCAACTGGGAGAGTGAGGCCCTGACTTCCTCCCGTCTCCTGCCAGTGCTCCGTCTCCTGTGGCGAGGGTGTCCAGTATCGCCGAGATACCTGCCTTGAAGCCCAGTCACCAGTGCCAGCCTCCTTTTGCCAGCACTTGCCTAAGCCGGTCACAGTGCGGGGCTGTTGGGTTGAGCCTTGTGAAAGACCAAGGACCCCCAGTCCAGCACCCCACCAGGAAGCCACCGCCCCTGGCCAGAGTACAGCTGCTGTTGCTGGTGGTCCTCTTCCATGGCCCTGGGCCGGGCTCCCGGTCCCAGCGTCCCAGCCTCCGGAACCTCAGGAAAGCCCAGCAGAGTCTGGCTAGGCTCCTTACTTTCTGTGAAGTTGACTCCATGTGGGACAGACCCTCCTGAGTGGGCTGCGTGCCCTTGGCTTCAGCGCTCCTATTTTTTTTTTTTTTGCCAATCATGAGGCTTGAACTCAGGGCTGGGCACTGTCCCTGAGCTCTTTTGCTCAAGACTAATGCTCTGCATTTGAATCACAGCATCACTTCTGGTTTTTGATTGGTTAAATAGAGATAAGAGTCTCACAGAGATTTTTCTGCCTGGGCTGGCTTCAAACACCTATCCTTAGACCTTAGCCTCCTGAGCAGCTAGGATGACAGGTGTGAGCCGCCAGTGCCCGGTAGGGCTCTAGTCTTATCTCGCAAAGGGAAACAGCACTTTTATTAGTGTACCCCACAAGTAGCCTAAAGATGGCAGAGTTAGGGGTACTGCAATCCAGAATCCCTCAGAGGTGCACAGCCTACCCCTCCCCGACACTGGAGCCTTGGCGATTCATGCATGTCCCTCCTGGACCTAAAGAGGCAGGTGCTGTGTGTGTGTGTGTGTGTGTGTGTGTGCGCGTGTACGTGTGTGCGTATGTGTGTGCGTGCGTGTGCGCTGCTGTTGGGACTTGAACTCAGGCACTGACTGGCTGCCCTTGAGCTTCTTGCTCAAAGCCAGGACTCTACCACATGAGCCACGACTCCACTTCTGGCTTTGGGTGGTTCACTGGAGATAAGACTTTTCTACCCAGTCTGGTTTTGAACCACAGTCCTCAGGTCTCACCCACCTGAGTAGCTAGAATGACAGGCAAGAGCCACCAGTGCCCAGCTTTAAAGAGGCTTCCTTCCAGGCCACCCTACCATAACCTCTTGACCAGGGAAAAAAATCTCAGCCCTGCTGTGCCCTGCTAAGAGTCCCAGGAACTGCCCACTGTGCCCATGTTCCTCCTGTCCCTTTGCAGGGACCTGTGGCAGGCAGTACCTGAGCCCACAGGGACCATCGACAAGTGAGGCACGGGACAAGGGGACTGTGTGGTGGCCATTGGGCGTCCCCTGGGTGAGGTACTGACCCTCCAGGTCCTCAAGAGCTCCCTCAACTGCAGTGTGGGTATGTCCAAGTTCACGTAAGCAGCCGCTACTGGTCATGGGGTCTGTCACATGCCCGTGTGACCCAGTGCCTCCCATTCCCAGCAAGCTCCGCCATGCCATTCCCACTTGTCACTTTTGAGGCTGTTCTGTCACTGGGCTGTGATCAGCTGGGCTAGGACAGGAGGCTGCTCCTTAAGAGACACAGAGTCTGTAGAAGGGAGAGGGGCCGTGAACTTAGCCTACCCCAGAGTGACTTGTGTCAGCCAGGAGTGGGCTGCTGGGCCCTCACTGCCCTGCCCGATCCCAGGGGAGGTACTGCTGCCCTGGAGCCCGCTCACTTGGAGGAAGATGTGCCAGCGGCTGTCTGGCATGACTTTCCTCTCCAAGACCAACGCACTGGGAGTGAAGCAGTGGAGCAGGCAGCCCAGAGAGGGAGTGGTGCTGTGGTACAGGAGCCAGGCTACCTTCTACAGAGGTATGGCCAGGTGCCTGGGCTGGGCCTGTGTGCTGAGGCAGAGCCTTCTGACGGGCAGTGGGCAGGACGGGCGGGAGCTGGTCAAGATGGAAGGAGGGGCCTTGGAGCCACCAATGGGGTCTGCACTCGTGGCTCTTCTTGATGATGTAACCAGGTGACGGTGCAGTCACGTCCGCGTGCCCTGGGCCACCGTCCTGCCCTGGGCTCTGTCACTCAACGCCGTCAAGGTTCATTAGCATCCTTCTGCGGGCACTTTTCCCTCCGTCGTCCTCCGGGGCACATTTGCACACACACAGGCAAGTTGCCCACCGACGCCCCCGTGGTCCCTCTGCAACCCGATAGCGCCCGGGCTCAGCCACCTGGAGCGCTTCTGTGGCGTGCGTAGCGGCACGGAGCCTGCAGAAGTACCTGTCCAGCGTGTGAGCTCTGCCACGGCCGGGAGGCCGGGAGGCGCGCACTGTGCACACGGGTCCCCGCGGCGCCCCGCACTCAGCCCCCTGCCCTCCGCGCACGCGCAGTGTGAGTGTGCGCTCAGCGCTGCGGGCCCGGGTGAGCCGGGGAGCGCCCCGCAGGCGTGCCTCGGGCTGCCGGGCCTCCCGCGCCCGCAGTGCCGGCCACGCCCGCATCGCTGCCAGGGGATGAGGCCAGGGTGCCGGCTCGGTGATCCCTCCATCACCAACAGCGAGCCGGCCTGCGCGCCAGCTCTGGGCTCTCAACAGGGGCACCGAAGAGTTGGAGAGCGCCCGCAGACCCGGCCGGGCCCCTCCTCGGCCGGCCGGCGCCGGGGGCTGCCGGTCGCCCCGGAGCGGGCCGCGGAGGCCCGTCTGGGGATCCTCCGGCCGTGTTCCTCCACGGGGCAGAAGGCTCGGTGTGGGCGGCGCAGCCCCCAGGTGCTAATAAAGGAGGACGGGCATCTTGCAGCGCGCTGGGCAGCTGGTCCCAGGCGGCCGCGGCCGGCTCCGGACTCCAGCACAGGCCCCACCCACCCCGCGGGCGCCGGCTGGAGGCTCAGGCCAGGTGCGCCGGGCCGGCCACGCCCCGCGCTCCCTAGGCCCCGCCCAGGCCGATGAGCCCTCGCCCCCGGCTACCTCCTCCCCCAGCCCTGCCCCTTATGCTAATAGCCACCTCCCCCCGACTCCGGCCAGCGTGCGGGGGCTCCGCCCCCTATGCTAATCGCCGCCTCTCCCACAAGGCAGCGCGCCGGGCGGACACGTCCCTTTGTGCGCTCCGGGACTGCGCGGAGGCGCGGGGCGGGCGGCATGAGCGGCTCGGGCGGGGCGGGGGCGTCGGCGGGCTCCGCGCCGCCCGCGCCGGAGGAGGGCATGACCTGGTGGTACCGCTGGCTGTGTCGCCTGGCGGGCGTGCTGGGGGCCGCGTGTGAGTACCGGGGCGGGGCGGGCCGGCGCGGGCCGAGGGTGCACGCCGTCCCGGGCCGCGGCGGCCGCGGGAGCCGGCGCCCTGGGTTGCCATGGCGGCCGCCGCGGGCCGGGCCGGGCCGGGCCGGGGGCTCGGGCTCCTTCCCGAAGGACGGAGCGGAGACGCCGGGGCCGCGCCGCCGCTCCCCGGGGCGCCCGCGTGGCCGGCTTCCACCTCGTGCTGCCCCCGACAAATGAGCTCCCGTGCCTGCCCAGCACCAGGGCCTGCCTGGCCGCCTCGGCCCACCTCCTGCCCCGCCGGGAGCCTGTCTTTCCAAGGGAGCAGCCAGGCAGTTGCTGGCGGCTGACCGTGGCCTGTGGGCTGCCAGGTTCCCCCCAGTGTGGCCCGCAACCTGGCCGACCGGGGGTCAGCCCTGTGCCTCTCAAAGGTGCCTCTGCCACCGCAAGAGCCGCCAGCTGTGTTAGGCCCCTCAGGTGTAACTCCAGGAGGGGTGTGTGGTGCCGCCCGGAGTCGCCCTGTAGGCTTCAGAAGCACGGTTAAACCGCAGAGTGCAATGCAGAAGTGTAGGATTTGGACAAGAGCTGTGCCCCTAGCCATTCACTCTGGGATGCCCCCCCCCCCGAGTGAGGGGCCCTCAGGAACGGAAGAGACATTTACCCTGGGTCCCCAGGACAACTGGAGGTATAGGTAGCAAGGTGGTGACTCCCTGTGTGTGGAAGGCAGGGGTAGGAGTCTCCGTGCGTGGATGCCCTCGAGCTGCTCACTGTTGAACTGCTGGGGCCCGCCACCGTCCGCCCGGGCTAGCTGTGGTGGGAGTGGGGTTGCCTGCGGAATGCCAGCAGGAAGGGCCAGCCGCCCTGTGTCCCCAAGGACAGGACACAAGACGCCACTGTGGTATAGGACTGCAGCCGCTCTCCCTTGGTCCTATCATCCAGTGTCCTCCTCCTCCGCCTCATCCTAGGGTTACAGGGGAAAATGGAAAACGGCAGAATTCCAGGCCCTGGGGAGGGATCAGGTGTACCCAGGCTGCTGCAGGTTTAATGAGCTGGTTGCTAATTGCTGCCTCCAAGGGCAAGCGTCCACCTGCCTGGTGATTGCCTGGGCTTGCACCCTGTCCAGCAGGCCAGCTCCCTGGAATGTCCTGAAGCCCCCCCCCCCCCCCAGTTTCTTGTTGCCTGCTGCTTTGGGCTGTGGGTGGAGGGGTGGATGAGTGGGGCAGGGCCAGTGCAGGTGGGAGGGGAGGGGAGGGGAGGGAAATGGTTTCTTGCTGGACCATGGGATGTAGCCCTGTGTGGGAGAGAAAATGGGCCTATAAAGTAAGCATGCTGAAGCACCCGAGTTGATGGATAAGAGGTCTTATCTGGTCTCCATTTCTGAGGTGCCAGGCAGGGTAGTACCTGTCTCTAATCTCAGCACTCAGGAGGCTGAGGCAGGAGGATCTGTGTGTTCACAGCCAGCCTGCACTACCTGGTGAGACTCCATCTCAAAAAACAAGTAGATCCAGGGCACAGTTTCCAAGTCTGAAGATGTTTTGCATGACCAGCTTTGTGAATGGTGTGACAGGTGGCCCGTATTAAGGGCTGAGTCTAGACAGCCCCAGCCTGACCTCGAGAGATAATTCTGCCCACCTGAGGTGGATGTGAATACAGCTGAGGTCAGGGTGCCAGCTTGCTCGGGCCCGGCAGCCCCCACGAGAGGAAGCCCCGAAGCGGTCTTGCTGCGCTGGCCTTGCTGGGGGGACGAGGGGTGGGCAGCACTTTATCTCTTTGGGGTGATAGGGTTGGGGAGGAGACTGAGCGCTGAGCCTCAGGAGGGCGTCTGGTGATTTGTCAGCCATCCCCTAGGCAGCCTTTCCCGTAGGCTCTGCCCCGACCTCCCTGCTAACCCTTGCTCACGTCTCCTGCTTCCAAGCCTGCGCCATCTCTGGCCTCTTCAACTGCATCACCATCCACCCTCTGAACATCGCAGCTGGCGTGTGGATGATGTGAGTAGCGAGTGGCCGTACTGCCGTGGCAGGCCTTGGGCTGTGGAAAGCTGGCCACAGCACAGGGGCTCCTCCCCACCCCTGCACCGCTGCTGCCAGTGGTGCCCAGAGCCATCTGTGGTGTTCCCTGCCGCCTGCTGCCACGGTCGCTGGTCCATGGAAGCGAGGGCAGGGCGGAGGGCTGGTCCGATGTGGCCCACTGAGGTGCCTGGGTCCTGCTGTGCCTGAGAGGGCGCGATGCAGGTCTACTGTCCCCTCAGGATAAAAGGACCAGATGCCCAGGTGCGTCCTCCAGGATGCTTAGGGGCAGGGGCATAGGTTGAGACTGGGAGTGGGTAGAAACAGGTGTCCTGGGGCAGGTGGGTGCTTGGGGGGGTGGCATTGTTCATGGGGCTGCCCCAGGACTATCACCCCCCTTCTCTGCCATTGCCCTGCAGCATGAATGCCTTCATCCTGTTGCTGTGCGAGGCACCTTTCTGCTGCCAGTTTGTGGAGTTCGCAAACACTGTAGCCCAGAAGGTGGACCGGCTGCGCTCCTGGCAGAAGGCTTTCTTCTACTGCGGGTGAGGGGCTTTGGGGCTGCCCTCCCCCAACGGGGTCCCCCATAATCCTGCCTGCAAAAGACTGGGAGGGCAGGTGTGGTGAGGGTGCACGGGGGGAGGGCCGGCCGGAGTGGTCACGTCGGGAAGTTTAGCCTGCAGCCCCAGACACTCAGGAGTTGAAAGATAAATGTCTTGGCGGTGGCTGGATGTGATGGCCCATGCTCGTAATTCCAGCCAGGCAGGAGGCTGAGGTAGGTAGGAGGAGGGTGTCCCACAAGGCTAACCTCGGGGGGAAAGTGCCTGTCCCTGTTTGTAAAATAAAGCCAGAAGGCTGACCTCCCTGACAGGTGCAGAGCCCCGAGCTCAAACCCCAGAGCCAAAGTCCTTGTCACATGATATACAGAGGAGAACTATGGGGAGTTCTGTTCACCAGCCCTTTGTAGTCTTGTCGGCAAGGCACACGGCTGTGTTCCCTTCCAGAGGAGTGAGGTCAGCTAGATGTCCTGATGTGGGGCAGGAAATCCCACGGCCCTCTAAATATTTCTGTTCCCCCTTTCTGGCAAGTTCGGTGTGGTCCCTCACATGGCATCCTCAGACTGCACCGCCTTGGGGAGGGCACTGAGTGCTGCCTTGACAGCCATGTTCGCTATCGTCTTCGAGAACGCAGATTATGTTAGACAAAGTCAGGCCAAAGCTTGCTGGGCTGTGGCCGTCCACCAGTGTCTGTGGTGAGACCCAGGGGTGCAGCGCGCAGGGGTGCGGGCGGCGCTCACGGATGTCCACGAGGGTCTGGTGAGACCCAGGCGTGCAGCGCGCAGGGGTGCGGGCGGCGCTCACGGATGTCCACGAGGGTCTGGTGAGACCCAGGCGTGCAGCGCGCAGGGGTGCGGGCGGCGCTCACGGATGTCCACGAGGGTCTGGTGAGACCCAGGGGTGCAGCGCGCAGGGGTGCGGGCGGCGCTCACGGATGTCCACGAGGGTCTGGTGAGACCCAGGGGTGCAGCGCGCAGGGGTGCGGGCGGCGCTCACGGATGTCCACGAGGGTCTGGTGAGACCCAGGCGTGCAGCGCGCAGGGGTGCGGGCGGCGCTCACGGATGTCCACGAGGGTCTGGTGAGACCCAGGCGTGCAGCGCGCAGGGGTGCGGGCGGCGCTCACGGATGTCCACGAGGGTCTGGTGAGACCCAGGGGTGCAGCGCGCAGGGGTGCGGGCGGCGCTCACGGATGTCCACGAGAGTCTGGTGAGACCCAGGCGTGCAGCGCGCAGGGGTGCGGGCGGCGCTCACGGATGTCCACGAGGGTCTGGTGAGACCCAGGGGTGCAGCGCGCAGGGGTGCGGGCGGCGCTCACGGATGTCCACGAGAGTCTGGTGAGACCCAGGCGTGCAGCGCGCAGGGGTGCGGGCGGCGCTCACGGATGTCCACGAGGGTCTGGTGAGACCCAGGCGTGCAGCGCGCAGGGGTGCGGCCCTCCTGTGTTAGTGGATCCAGAGGCTGCTCAGTGTGTCACCCTGCCTTCGGGTTTGTAAGCGTAGTGGCAAAATGCCAACCGCAACGTGCATTAAAATTTATTTTGCAATATGTTACTTGAGGCCCTATTACCTGTAAACCATCTGTCCGTCCTGAATTTGGACTTTATACCTTTTATACCCACCTTCCATTAATAAGATGTAAGCACCTCTACGGCATTACCTTTAGTGATGGACTGGTTCTCAGCTGAATTCCTGGCATCTGAATTTGTTACCTGTGGTATAAATGGAGCTGTGCTATCTCTGTCTGCTACAACTTCAGTAGCTGATTTCAGGTGTGGAATTACTAGGTCAGCTCATGGTCAGTAAAAAGATTTTGAGCCGGGTGCTTGGTAGGTCACGCCTGTAATCCCAGCTACTCAGGAGGCTGAGCTATGAGTATCACGGTTCAAAGCCTACCTAGGCAGGAAAGTCCGTAGACTCTTATCACCAGAAAACTGGAAGTGGCGCTGTGGCTCAAGTGGTAGAGCACTAGCCTTGAGCTGAAGAGCTGAGGGACAGTGCCCAAGGCCCAGAGTTCAAGCCCCACAACTGACAAAAAGAAAACGATTTTGAAATGTGTAACTCAGTTGCTTTCAAAGAGGTCATCTGAGTTTCCCCCTCCCCCACCCAGTGCCATGAACCATTTTATGTTTACTGTGTAATCCCCTATCCTTCAATCTTCTAACTGTATTTCTTTCCTTCTTATCTCCCTTTCTCTTCCTCCCTCCCTTCCTCCCTCCCTCCCCCCTTCCTCCCTTCCTTCCTTCCTTCCTACCTTCCTACTTTCCTACCTTCTTCCTTCCTTTTTCTGTTACTAGGGCTTGAACCTCAGGGCCTGGAAACTGTCCTTTAGCTTTTGTGCTCAAGGCTAGTGCTCTACCATTTGTGCCACAGCTCCACTTCTAGCTTTTTTTCTCATTTATTGGAGATAAAAGAATCTCACAGACTTTCCTGCCTGGGTTGGCTTGGAACTACAATCCTCAGACCTCAGCCTCTTGAGAAGCTAGAATTATAGGTATGAGCCGAGCCACCAGCGCCTGGCTTTTGATCTCATTTTCTTTTCTTTTTTTAAAAAAAATTTTTTTGGGGTCCGGTCGTGGGGTCTGAACTCTGGGCCTGGGCGCTGTCCCTCAGTTCTTCAGCTCAAGGCTAGCACTCTACCACTTGAGCCACAGTGCCACTTCCGGCTTTTTTTTTTTTCTGCTTATGTGGTGCTGAGGAATCAAACCCAGGGCCTCATGCACGCAAAGCAAGCGCTCTACCACTGAGCCACCCTCCCAGCCTTGATCTCATTTTCTTATTGGAAAAATTTCCAGTTCACTTTTGAACCTGTTACGATCTTAGTAGTGTACTTAGCAGGTCATATATAGCCTAGTATTAAAGATTTCACACCCTTTTGTTATGTTTCTAGCACATAGTTTTCCAGCTTGCTCTCTACCTTTAGTTTTGTCAGGTCTCCTTCCCCTACATTGTCTTTTTCTTGTGATTTCAGCTTAAGATGTGGCCCCACTGTCCACTGAGAATACCACATTGAAAGTCATACAATACAGCTCACTATACCTATACCTACCCACCCCCACTACTGAGCTGAGCTCATTTGAACATTTTCAGAGCCCTTACATTAGGGCCAGAACATAGTATCTTATGAATCAAGAAATACCCAGACGACGTTCTACTGCATGTGTGTCACTTCTGCATTATTATAAACTCAGAATACCTTAAGTTTAGTCATGGTAAACTCGGGACTGTGCACTTTGGACAGCTTCAGTAACAATACAATCTAAAGTGGATATCCAGGGGGGCAGAGCTGAAAGCGAGCGCTGCCCCCAGGTCAGAGGGACCCGATTCAGGGTTGGTCTGCAGGCTGCCAGCATTTTCCTGGCCCAGTCAGCCCAGGAATCTGGGCTTTTAATTCTAATGAGCCTCGCCACCAGGGGGCGTGCTGCTCCACCAGCCAGGAGCTGCGGTGCCCAGCACATGGGGTCTGACTTGGGGAACCTGCACACTGCGCGCTGGCTAGCGTTGCTGTGCATCACGAGCAGCGCCAGTTGTGCTCCCGGTGTTGCACACATGAGTAGTCAGCATGCCTCCCCCTCAGATCTCTCTGAGCTTTGGTCCCTGCTTCAGTAGAGGCTCAGTGACTCAGACACGGGGTTCAGAAGATGGAACAGCATGGTGTCCGTGGCTCTGTGCCAGGGCAATCCAGCATGCTGCTGGGTAGGCCTTTGTGGATCACAGTCCTGGAAAATCTGGAGAAAGCCTTGGTCCTCTCCCCAGAATAGACTGATTCATTTATGTGTGTGTGTGTATTGCTTGTATGGGCATGCCCAGAGACTGGGCACTGTCCCTTAGCTGTTTCGCTCAAGGCTAGTGCTCTACTGCTTGAGCCATAGCTCCACTTCGGCTTTTTGCTAGTTCACTGCAGATAGGAGTCTCACAGATTTTCCTGTTCAGGCTGGCTTTGAACCACGATCCTTGGATATAAGCCTCCTGGATTGCTGGTTCTGGGTTTGGGATTTTGCACCCACCCCCGGGGCTGCATCTTGATTGGTCTCTGGGGATCCTTCCTGCCCCTCAGTCATCGGAGCCCCGAGGACTGAGGAGCCAGGAGGTCTAACCACGTGGAGCGGGGTGCCCGCTGATCTCTTTCTCCCCTAGGATGGCCATCATCCCCATCGTCATGAGCCTGACCCTGACCACACTGCTGGGTAACGCCATCGCCTTTGCCACAGGGGTGCTGTACGGACTCTCTGCCCTGGGCAAGAAGTGCGTCTGTGGCCCCAGCCCTGCCCCTCTGGGGGGCGGTCCTGGTGGGGTCCCTTGGTCCCGTTATGGGGCACTGTGGCAGCCCTTGGAAGTGGACTCGGGTACCCCCCGGGTGGCCCGGCTTGCCTGGCTCTGCCTCTTCCTATGGCCCCTACACCAGGCTGGTCATCCTTTCCTGGAGAGCCCAGCCTGGGACAGATCTTCACCTAATGTCCAGGAGGCCCTGGGCCCCGGCAGTCGCCTCTGCGTGGGAAGCAGAAGGCCCTGCCCGTGGCTTCCGCCTGGCTTACAGTTGGGTGGTGGCCAGAAAGGCTGCGCCTGAGTGACATTTGCTTGCTGTCTCCCCAGGGGCGATGCCATCTCCTATGCCAGGATCCAGCAGCAGAGGCAGCAGGCAGATGAGGAGAAGATGGCGGAGACCCTGGAGGGGGAGCTGTGAAGTGAGCCAGTGACCCGTCCTCCCGACCACCGGCTGGCTCTGTGTGATTGTCCGAAGGGACTCTGGAGAGGAACTCTGCGAGCGCCCTGTCCTGGAACCCTCCTGCCTGACACGTCGCGGCCCCAGCGGGGTTGCAGGACTTGGGCAGAGCAGAGCAGAGCCCACCTTATCAGCGCTGCATGGATGGGCGCCTGCTCCGAAGCATGCTGCCGGAGGATCTGAAGGCTCCCCATGGCTGGTGGTCAACCCCAACGCCCACACCGGGCCTGGCTGGAGGAGGAGGCAGATCACCCCAACTCCTCCCACCTCCTGCCTGTCAGGTGGGAGCATGGAGCAAGGGGAGCATGCGCCAGCTCCCTGCAAGTGGAATCCCAGCCCTGCCCTGGCTGCTTGTTCTCAGGACAGTGTTCCAAGGCCAGCTGCTGCTGCCGGGGTTGTGGCTAGTGCTCCCAGCATGCACCTCTCTGGCCAGAACAGGCCCTTGGCAGATGGTTGGACAGAACACTTCAGGCCGTCCTGCTGCTGTGCTTCCCGCAGGCCTCACCCGGGCCCTGCCCTGCCCTGGGCCTTGGTGCTAGGGAGTGGTGAAGAGCTCGTGGGGTGCCCTCCCCCGTGTGGCCCTCCTTGTGTCTGCAGCGGCTGCCTTTAACTACGGTTAGAGGGCTGGACTTGACACACCTCAGGCCCTGCCAGCTGCCCCGGGAGCTTCCTGCCGTGGGGAAGATGGGCGGAAGTCAGAGCCGCCCCTCCCAGGGCTGTCCCCTGCTCAGGTGCCAGGCCGCCCGGACAAGCCCCCAGGGAAGGACACAGAAGCTGGTGTTGAGGAAGTGGCCCTCAGGAGTGTCATTGCGCCCCCACCCTTCCACACCTCCCCGAGACCCCGCCCTCTGCTCATCAGATTCACCTTGGCCTGTGGAGCTCAGGTGGGGCTAGGAGAGGGGGCGTGGAGAAGGCTCAACTCCATCTTCCTCCCTCCCCCAACCCCGGGCGGGGCCTGCTGGAAGCTTCCAGAGCAGAGGGACTAGGTTTTGTGCCATGGAGACCAACCCGGAGCTGTTCCAGGTCTGCTTCCCAGGGGACCCTTCAGGCCTGCCGATGTCTGGGGCCAGAAGCCATGGACGCTGGGAGATGGCTCGCCCTGCCCTGCCCTGCCCTGGGACGCAGCAGATACTAGCACTGGCAGTACTCTGCCCAAGCACAGCCCCAGGGTGGCAGGTGAACCAGCACCAGCCAGGCCGGTCAGGATTCCTCCGGGGCCCCTGTGGTACTTACGGGCTCTGTGTGTGTGTGTACGCACGCGCACATGCCTGTGTCACTCCCCATGTGTGCAGTGAACAGGGCCCATCCACCTCAGGAGGAGCAAGGGCCCTAACTGCCCCTCTGCTCGCTTGTCCAGCCATGGCCTTGGGTCACTTCTGCCCTGGCTTTGGCCCCTGCCATGGCTGCAGGAACAGGAAGGGGAGGGGCTAGCTGTGTGTACCCAGGAAGTGGCACTCCACCTGAAGGGAGGTGGGTAGGCCACAGGTTGGGACACCAAGGTAGAAGGTCCCTCAGACAGGCCCAGGTGGACTGGCCACCTCCCAACTGGTCTGTGCCTAAGCAGCTCTGGAACCTCTAGCCGCCTAGTTCATGCTCCTGCTCTGCTCAGGCCAGCTGGACTGCAGGCCGGCCTCTGCCTCTGTCTGGGTTCTGCCTGCTCCTTCCTTGAAGCCTTGGCAGTAAAGGAAGATGAGTCTCAATGCATGCCCTCTGCCTGGTACCTTCTGCCTCTGCTCCCTCCGTGGGGGCAGGGCTTCCCCAGCCAGTGCCGCTGGGCAGGCCACTGGCTGGCCCTGCCCCCAGGGCCTCGGGGAGGAAAGCAACTCGTTTGGGGTCATAAGCAACCCATGGAGAGACCAGCCCAAGAGCAGCCGGCTGTGGTGGGGCAGCAGGTGCCGACGGCCTCGGCTGAGTCTAGCCTGGCTGATGGAGTGGGGGCTCCCCAGAGTACACCCCACTCCGTCCTCCCTAGGGCTGCAGGCCCAGTTTATTTATTATTCATAAATAGGTAAACATAATTTGCAGGCGGGCGCCCTGTAGGAGGTTGGGCTGGGCAGGGGGAAGTGGCCACACCAGGCCCTCCACCCTGGCTTTTGGAAGTCTGAGACGCCCCACCCCCACCCCAGAGGTGTCCACAGACCCCTGTGGTGCACAGCCCTGCCTTCCCCACATCAAGATGCTGGATGGGGGCTGAGTGGTGGGGACAGGCTGGCGTGACAGCACCATGAACACACTGCCCTCCCTCCGCACGAGTAAGGAGCCAGGGTTGAGGTCACCCGGCAGGCCCCTGACCTGGACACCAGGTAGGCCACTTGGACGGGTCTCAGCCAGAAGTGTTCAGGCTGGTCCTGGGCTCCGGCTGGTGGCAGGAACCGCAGCTGTTCCTGGTTGCAGGTGTAGGCTTGCTGCCAGTGCGAGGCCAGTGGCCCTGAGCTAGTGCGGGAAGGACCGCCGCCTGGAGTGGAAGAAGCACTCGATCTGCTCCAGCGAGCGGCCCCGGGTTTCAGGCACGCAGCAGCCCGTGAACACCAGGCTCACCAGGCAGATGGCGGCAAAGAAGAAGAAAGGCACCTGGAGGCCGAAGGCATTCTGGGGATGTGGGGTAGGATTGGGGGGTCACACAGGAGAAATTCAGGTCCTGCCCTTCCCGCGCAGGACGAAGCCTAGCCAGTGCCAGCCCCTGTGGCAGCCTTGGTCTGCTCATTGCCTAAGACCGCCTAGGGCTCCCCTGGCTCTTGGCCACCCAGGGGCGGACGCTAGGTATTGCTGCCTACCCGAGACTTTCAGCCCGATTCCCCTTCCCACCGAGGCCCAGCTGTCGTGTCACAGCTCCATGCTGCCTGCATGACCTCGTGGGTGATTTATACCTGACCTCTGAGGGGGGCAGAGGGGACCCTGGGTGAAACGGGCTCAGATTCAGGTTTTCTTGGGGACTGTGGTAGAGGAAGACGTGCCTTTCCACAGTGGGAAGGCACTAACGGTAGGACCAACTAGAGAGGCCTAGCACCTGGGAGACAAGACTTGGCTTGCTAGACTCTAGCCAAGCCCAGGGCTGCGTCTTTCCTGGCGTGGGAGGTCGCCTGACCATCAACAGTCTCCACCTTGCTCCTGTTTCTTGTGAGCAGGGCCCTGGCTGTGCTGTTACTTGCATCTTTAGCCTCCACACATGCCAACTTCACTGGCAGGTTAAATGGCCAATGGCAAAGGCCCCTGGCACAGTGAGCGGCGCTCTGCTGGCTGCAGCGGGCCTCAGGGGTCCCTGGGTGCCCGGGGGCCTGGCACTCACCACCACTGGCAGGAAGGACTTGGTGAGGACGAAGGCGGTGAGCCAGCTGACCAGCACACAGAGCCCCGAGGCCACGCCGCGGGCACGCAAGGGCAGGATCTCAGACATGAGGAGCCAGGTGATGGGTCCCCAACCCATGGCATAGCCTGTCCAGACAGGGGAGAAGGGGTGGGCCCAGGGACAGCCCATCCCCCCAGCCTCTGCTCCGCTGACAGACCAGGACGGCCACACGATCCCACCCCACCCCCCAGAGGGTCCCCGGCACCTACCCATGATGAAGAACATAGTGGCCAGCAGGGGCACCAGGGTGAGGGAGCTGGTGGGCATGGCGGGGGGCTGCTCTGTGCCCCCCAAAACCAGGCTCTGAAGGCCCACGCCCAAGGTGCTGTTGGGGGCAGGAGGCCTGGGGACGAAGTGGATGTACAACCCCAGCGTCAGGTTGGCCACGAACATGATGGTTGCTGTGGACACACAGGTAGATACTTGGTCCGGCTCAGCTGGAGCCCGGTGTGCCCTGCGCCAAGAAGCACTCAGGCCTCCAGCCTGGGCTCCTGGCCCACCCTGAGGTGTGTCCCGGGCTCCTAGTCCTCTGCCAAGAGCCTCTCTGGAGCAGCCCACACTGGGCCCCAGGCAGGGGCTGCTGCACCCAGCCCGGGCACGCACGGCTGCTGCTTAGTGAGGGGCACCAGCCACAGCCAGGGCTGCTCACCCGACACGAAGAGCAGAACCTTGCGGCCAGCCAGGTCCATGGTCAGGGCAGCGATCAGCACGGACAGCAGCCTCACCGCGCCCACAATCGCCGCGTCATCCTCCGGAGGCTGGGGGCGGGGGGGCACTGGCGTTGAGAAATGGGGTCCGCCACTCCTGCTCCCACCTCCACGTCCAACCTGACCCCCCTCCCCAGGCAGTGCAGGGGGCTGAGGCTCCCAGCCGGCACCAGGGCTCCTTCGGCACGCACAGTCAGGGCGTTGCTGTGAGCGGCTCATTTGCAGGGCCTCCCAGTGGAGGCCGGCCTGGCACAGACCCAGAACCACAGCTGTGGGTGCAACTGCCTGGGCTCCCCGGTGGAGCGTGGGGACGGGATGGACCAGGTCACCAGCAGACGGCGCTGGCTGCAGGGGTGCAGGGGAGGGTGCCGTCCCTGATTAAGTGGCCTCCCCAGGCTCTGGGCCTGGCCCTGGTTCCAAAGGGTCCATGTCTCTACAAAACGGCTTTCCTCGCTCAGTGGAAGAATGCTTGCCCAGCGGGTACAGGGCCCCGAGTTCAGTCCTGAGCGTCGGCAGGGGTGGAAGGGGGAGGTCATCCTGTATAACTGTCTTAATACACGTATGCTTTGCTTAAAAACAATTCGGGAAGTAGAGCTGTGGGTCATGGTACAGCGCTAGCCTTGAGCACAAAAGCTCAGGGACAGCGCCTAGGCCTGGAGTGAGTTCAAGCCCCAGGAGTGGCACAAAATGACCCGACAGTATAGCTGGGAGCACAGATGCATGGCTCAGAAGCAGGTAAGAACCTGGATGGTCCCCATGTTCAGACCTGTAGGCCTGGCCTCTAGGGTCCAGCTCGTGGCGGGGGTTGGGGGGAGGTCCCAAGTGGTGCTCACCAGCACCACTGCCGTTCTGTCGAAGATGGGCTGCAGGTAGACGAGGATGGGCGTGATTCCCATCAGCTGCTGCAGGAAGCGCATGAGCAGGGCGATGAGGATCGGCCGGTACATGCGGGGGTCCCGGACCTCGGCCCACGACACTCGGCTGCTCTGAAACACAAGGCCACCGCTGAGGGGCTGTGCAGCCTCTCCCACAGAAGCCACCCAGCCTGGGACCCTGTGGGGTTGGAGGAGATCCCTCCGCTTCCTCCCTCTTGCAGAAGGGACCCCAGGCTCTGGGAACCACTCTTATGCCAAGAAAAAGCAACGGAGGCCCAGAGAGGTCTAGTGTCTGACCAAGGCCACACAGACCCATGGGTGCCCCACCCACCCTCACCTGTCTCTGGACGTTGTCCTGGATCTGCTCAAACTCCCAGTGGACATCGGGGCCACTGGCTCGCAGCCAGGTCAGTGCCTGCAGTGCCTCCTCGTCCCTGCCCCTCGAGAGCAGGAAGCGCGGCGAGTTGGGCATGAAGCTGAGTATCAGGATCATGATGAGCACCGGTCCCTCCCCGGCCACCGCCAGCCAGCGCCAGGGCAGCCAGAGGCCTGGGGGAGAGCATTGTGAGGGGCTGGGAGCCTCCCCTGAGACAGAGGCAGGGAGGGGCACAGGGGTTGCCTGGCCCCTGGCGCATGACAGGAGGCCCTGGGAGGGTCCCAAGGACCGGAGCGTGATGGGGAGGGTGGAAAGGCAGGGTCCACCTCCAGGCAGCCAGAGGCCTTGCTGACCACAGACAGATTGGGCCTCTGAGCAGAGAGGGCAGGGGACTGCCTGGAGAGACAGAGGGACACCTTCCAGTCCTGGGCTCCCCCAGGGGCACCGGCAGTCCTGGCCCATGGCACCAGGGACTCCCGGAAGCCACGGGCATGGACGTGGAGAGGTACTTGCCGAGGGTGTAGAGGAACAGGGACCCAAACACTGCCATGAGCTGTGGCGTAGCCCCCAGAGCCCCACGAACACCAGGGGGTGCAATTTCAGACACGTACACCTGCAAGACACATCACCCCTGGAGCTTTGGTGAGAATGTAGGTGTTTGGACCAGGCTGGGGTGGGAGAGGAGGACCCTGTCAGCCCAGAGAGTGGGGAAGGGTGTTGTGATCAGGGCTCACAGCCTGCCCGCTGCTTTGGGTACCTGACTGTAAAGCAGGCAGGCCGCTCTGCTCTGAAGTGGGCGGCAAGGGTGGGATGGGTGCCCAGCCTCCAGACTTGGGGCGCAAATGCCTCCATCCTGCGTCCTGGGCCCTCTGAGCAGGTTTAGGGGAAGCACTGCCTAACTCTAGGCTCATGGGAGGGCAGCAGGAGGGGACTTCCCTTTCCTACCCATGCATTCAATGCAAATTTTCTCCACTTGTGCAATGCATCTGTGGTCAAGAAAGAACTGGCAGGAGTTGAGAGAGTCCAGGGTGGGGACGGCTGGGCATGGGGGAACAAGTTTCCCAGAAGTCAGCTACCCCATCAGAGGTGGGCGGAGGCTTGACTGGACAGCCACTGGGGGCAGCAAACACTGTCACTGGGGCGGTGGTGGACATCCAACCTTACCGGGATGCAGGCAGCCGTGAGTCCTCCAGCGAAGCCGGTCAGCATCCTCCCCAGAAGCAGCATCCACAGGCCACGGGCTCCCGCCATGAGGGCGTAGCCGGCCACCGAGGGTACCGCTGAGAACATGATGCTCAGCTTCCGGCCCAGAAGGTCGTTGAGAACCATGGCACTGAGGCCTCCAGCTGTGGCTCCCAGGGTGAATACAGACTACGGAGAGGTGCAGGCAGAGAGGTCTGGGTCTGGGCACCCCACTTCCACTAGGCTGATCTCCAAAACCAGCCCAGGCCCCAGGCCAATGAAGGTGGTTGTAATGAGCCTCTGTTCTTTAGAAGTGCAGCAGCAGCGAGTAGACAGCCCCTGGCTATGGGTGTTCCAATGTGGGGGGCTTGCTCTAGGGAGAAGGCGCCCCATGTCTACGGAGGGGTCTGGCCAGCAGATGTTTAAGCATCTAATTGTGTGTGTGTGTATGTGTGTGTGTGCCATAACTAGGGCTTGAATTCAGGGCCTTACTGTTAGCTTTTTCACTCAAGGCTGGTGCTCTACCACTTAAACCAAAACTCCATTTTGGTGATTTTTTTTTTTAAAAGATAAGGTCAAACTGAGGCTGGCCTCAGACTTGAGATTCTCCAACCTCAGCCTCCAGATTGCTGGGATTGCAGAGATATGCCACCACACCTGGCCTTAAGCAGGACAGACCTCTACTGTGAAGGTCTCATGACTTGGAGAGTACCTGGATTCCCCATAGAGTAGCAGTAGTCGTGTGGGGCTTGGGCCCATGGCTTAAGTTTATCCAGGCTTTCATTTCTTCAGTTGTGTTATAGGGATAGAACCCACATCATGAGTTGGCCCAGAGAATCAATACCTCTCATCTGAAAGGCCCTGCACTTGCCTAGCACCTTCTAAGTGTTCAGTAAAGCTTGGGTATTTTCAACTTAGCCACCAAGTTGGCCAATCTAGACCCAAGATTAAATCCTAGGATCCTGAGCTTCTTGGGGTCTTCCTCTCCCTCAGCCCATGCTGCCCTTGCAGCCAGGCCCCAGTCCCACTGGCACCTGGTGCCCGGTCCTGTGCATGGAGGACAGTGTGCTGGCGTGTCTGCCTGTCTGCCCACATCCCTCAGTCCCACCTGGCAGAGACCCAGGGTCCTCCCTACCTGCATCTCCCCACATCTTTTCCACTGTCTTCCACTTCCTCAATGTGTTACAATCATCTCACCTCGTCCTATTGGCTGACAGTCATGAGTGGGCCCTGGAGAGGGGTCCCAAGGCTGAGTGTGCCAAATTCTGTGGATCCCTGTCCCCCTCCAGTCCCCCAGCCCTGCCCCCCACCCAGTCCCCCAGCTCAGTTTTGGGCCTTACCCCAAACCAGGACGTCTGGGTTTTGGTCAGGTGCAGGGCGGGGTTGGAGGAGCTCTCCAGGGCCGGGATGACAGGGGACGTGTAGACCAGGGCGTACCCGAAGCTGAAGTTGCCCAGCACGGCAGCGAAGGTGGCCAGGAACACCCTCCTGTTCTGCACAGCCCTGGGGGCCGAAAGGACCGGGGTCAGGTCCCGGGGCTGTCCCGGGCTCCAGGGGCCAGCCCAGCCAGCGGGTGGCACAGGGGCAGCCCCTGCGCCCGGGCCCGGCGCCGCGGCCGGGGGAAATTCCCAGGGCGCTGTCTGCAGGAGGAGAGGCGTGGGTTCGCCTCCAGGTCTGTGCCGGAAGCCTGCCGGGCTTGGGCAAGGCCCCCATCCTCTCCGCGCCCCCCTCCCCAGGTGGGTGGCGGTGGGCACGGCGCGCACCCCGTCCCTGCGCGGCGCGAGCGAGCCGCGGCTCCCGGCGTCCCCGCACCGAGGTCACGGGCGGCCCGGCCGCCCCGCGCCGCCCCCGCGCTCACCCGGCCCGCGGGGCCGCGGGGGCCTCGGGGAAGGTGTCGTAGTCCCGGCCCTCGGCTCGCAGCAGCGGCTCCTGCATGATGGCGCGGGGACGGCGGCGCGGGGACGGCGGCGCGGGACCCGCGGACGCGGCCGGACTCGGGCATCCGCCGGGCGAGCATCCGCCCGGCCGGGGGCGGAGCCTGGAGCCCCGCCCCCTCCCCGCCGCGATTGGCCGCCGGGCGGCCCTGCAGAGCCGCGCGGGCCAATGGGGCGGCCGCACGCCTCGCGGATGCTGGGCGCGGCGGGGCTGCGGGAGCCCCGAAGCCGCGGGCTCATTTCGGGGACCGCTGCCTCGGGCAGGGCCGGCCGCGGGCGCGGCGCGAGTGGAGCGCGCCCCGGAGTCGGGCCGGCTCCGCCCCGCGTCCCCTGCGCCCCGCGGTTGTGCCCTTCAAAGCCGTGGCAAAGGTCACACCCCAGGGCTGCTCTCGGTTCCCCTTACCCCTCCTGCCTCAGTGTACCCGCGGGGCCCCTCGTCCGCGATCCCACAGGGGCGGCCACAGGTGTGAAAGGAAGGCGGGTGCCGGGGACCCCTCCCCGTCCTGGGACCCCTCCCCCTCCCTGAGACCCCCTCCCCTCCATGGGATCCCTCTCCCTCCCTGGGACCCCCCCTCCCTGGGACCCCTCCCCCTCCCTGGGACCCCTCCCCTCCCTGGGACCCCTCCCCCTCCCTGGGACCCCTCCCCTCCCTGGGACCCCTACCCCTCCCTGGGACCCCCCTCCCTGGGACCCCCCCTCCCCTCCCTGGGACCCCTCCTGTCCCTGGGACCTCTCCCCCTTCCTGGGACCCCTCCCCTCCCTGGGCCCTTTCCCCTTCTTGGGCCCCTCCCCCTTCTTGGGCCCCTCCCCCTCCCTGGGACCCCTCCCCTCCCTGGGCCTCTTCCCCTTCTTGGGCCCCTCCCCCTTATTGGGCCCCTCCCCCTCCCTGGGACCCCCCTCCCTGGGACCCCCCTCCCCTCCCTGGGACCCCTCCTGTCCCTGGGACCCCTCCCCCTTCCTGGGACCCTTCCCCTCCCTGGGCCCCTTCCCCTTCTTGGGCCCCTCCCCGTTATTGGGCCCCTCCCCCTCCCTGGGACCCCTCCCCCTCTCTGGGACCCCTCCCCCTCCCTGGGACCCCCCCTCCCTGGGACCCCTCCTGTCCCTGGGACCCCTCCCCCTTCCTGGGACCCCTCCCCTCCCTGGGCCCCTCCCCCTTCTTGGGCCCCTCCCCCTCCCTGGGACCCCTCCCCCTTCCTGGGACCCCTTCCAGTTCCTAGGCCGCCTCCCCTTCCTGGGACCCCTTCCGTTCCTGGGACCCCTCCTGTCCCTGGGACCCCTCCTGTCCCTGGGACCCCTCCCCCTTCCTGGGACCCCTCCCCTCCCTGGGACCCCTCCCCCTCCTGGGCCCCTCCCCCTCCCTGGGACCCCTCCCCCTTCCTGGGAGCCCTTCCCTTCCTGGGACCCCTCCCCCTTCCTGGGACCCCTCCCCCTTCCTGGGACCCCTTCCGTTCCTGGGACCCCCTTCCCCCTTCCTGGGACCCGTCCCCGTCCTAGTCCTCCAGGCGACTCCACCCACAGCCCCAGCCCGCCCGGTTCGCTCCTGGCGGAGCTGGTTGAAAGAGCTTGTCAGTAATGTTGTGAACCTTGAGAGTAAGGAAAACAGAAACCGAAATTTCCTTGGAAGCCCATTTACACACACACACACCACCACCACCACCAGAAAAACCACAGTCAGGATGTCTAGCCGTCCCTTTGGACTTCTTGACAGGCTGACTCACTTCCTCTTGGGCAGAATGGGTGTCCCACCCACATTTTGAGCTGACCCTTTGTTGTCACCTACCTGGGTATTTCCAAAGCTGGCCTACTGAAATAGGGAAGCGTTTTTAAGGTTTCAAGTCCCCTTTGTTTTTTTCTAGCCCTGTCTGAGCAGAGCCAGACAAAAACCATCGAATTCCTGGCACCTCTCCTCTCTGGTTCACCAGTCTCTTTGTTTCCAGTCTCAGCCCCAGTTCCTATCTGGGCATGAACACAATTGTACCCATTTTCTATTGTAGTTAAAGACAGACCTTAGACCCAAGCACCCTCAGTAAAGACTGACTTACTGGGGATGTTGCATAGTGCTCAAAACCATTTTTTAAGATCATTGTTATTAAGTAGTTGCACTGTTTTGGGGAAAAGAGTCCACCACTCAGAGACAGCCTCATGTAAAAAGATGACCTTATTGGGGAAGTGGAGAGCTGACCGGCCAGGGACGCGGCAGACTCGGGAGCTGAAACTGCGACCCCGAACGGCCCACAAGCTAGGGTTTTTAAAGGCAAAATCCATTTGGTCGAGCCTGGTCACATGCAGGTGGCCAACGGGATTGTAATACACACATAAAGAGTGCATATTATGTCAGTCGCCAATGGGGTTACAGTCCGTCTGCTAGTAACTGTTTGAACTAACATCATTCTGGTTTGAATTGGCGCGCAAGTTTGGGGTCCCCACACAAAGCAGGTGGAATTTCTTACTTGTGGGGGCTGTACATTCCAGAAACATAATGTCCTATGCCCCTGCATCCTTGAAGCTGGGGTGGTTACAAAGACAGTTACAGCAGATTTATTACGAAGGCAGCTACAGGAGGATACACAATGTGGCACACAATGTGGCATGGCGGGCACCATTCTAATTAAACAGGGTATGAGATAGGGCCGAAGTGCGTGTGAAGTAAGTTTTGAGGTCTCCCTTTATAGCCTCTCTTTGTTTTTAGTAAAGAGCCAATTTCTCAGCTTAGTTTTTCTCACACCGTCTGGACCTTACCAGTCTAGGAGGCCCTTCCCCCTGGCAGTGCAAAGGAGTGACAAGTCCACAAGTCAGGTTATGAGTACAATGCTTCTGGGTCACCCTTTTCTTTCCCCCATTTTCCTCCCCTCACAACCACTTGTTAAAGTGGAGACAACACACATTTTCTTTCCCCTTGTACTAGAATTTGAACTCTGCTTGACTGGCAGTCTACCACTTGGGACACATCTCCAGCCCCACTTTTTGCTGGTCATTGTTCTGGAGATGGAGTCTGATGGGCTTTTCTGCTCAAGTTGGCTTTGAACTGTAAACTTCTGATCCTCCCAAGTAGCTAGAATTATAGGCATGATCCACTTGTGTGTGTGTGAGAGAGAGTGTGTGTCTCGTGGCTTGAATTCAGGGCCTCATGCTTTTTATGCTCAAGATTGGTGTTCTCCCACTTGATCCACATCTCTGCTTCTGGCTTTTTGCTAGTTAAGAGATAAGAGTCTCATGGATTTTTCTGCCTAGGCTGGTTTTGAATGAGAATCCTCAGATCTTACTCAGCCAAGAGCTGCTCACTCATGAGCCACCAGTGCTCAGCTGTAAGAACAGTTTTTTTTGTTTTTTGGGGTTTTTTTTTTTGGTCGGTCATGGGGCTTGAACTCTGGGCCTGGGCGCTGTCCCTCAGCTCTTTAGCTCAAGGCTAGTGCTCTACCATTTGAGCTACAATGCCACTTCCGGTTTTCTGATGGTTTATTGGAGATAAGAGTCTCACGGGCTTTCCTTTCCTGGCTTTGAACTGCAATCCTCAGATCTCAGCCTCCTGAGTAGCTAGGATGACATGTGAGCCACTGGTGCCCGGCTGTAATAACACATTTTAAGTGCATAGCTCCACACACTGGTCTCTGTGTATATCTTGTAATAATTTCCTAGGTCAGATAATGAGTATCAGAGCACCCAGAAAACCCCAGACTTCCTCCCCTATCATCCTTCCTCCGGAAGTCTCATGACTGATTTCTGTATTTCCAATTCCATTTCTGGCTCTTGAACTTCAAAAATAGAATCATCCTAATTTCTAGTTCATTTGAAAAGTGTGTATGTGTGTGTGTGTGTGTGTGTGTGTGTGTGTGAGTGCGCACGTGCGCGCACACACCTGGGGCTTGAACTCGGCCTGGGCACTGTCCCTGAGCTTTTATGCTCACTATGAGCCACAGTGTCATTTCTGACTTTTTAGTAGATAATTGAAGATAAGAGTCTCACAAACTTTCCTGCCCAGGCTGGCTTTGAATCATGATCCTCAGAACTCAGCCTCCTGAGTAGCTAGGATTATAGGTGTAAGCCATCAACACCAAACTCTTAAATGTATTTTTTTTAATCAGCTTTATAGTAGGCTCATGGTGAGTGCACAAACACACACACACACACACACACACACACACACACACACACACGACAAAATGAATCTCTCCTTTCCTCTCCTCTCCTCTCCCTCTTTCTCTCTCCCCTCCTCTCCTTTCTTCTAGTCTCTCAGATTTGTCTGCCTGGGCTGGCTTTGAACCTGGATTCTCAGATCTCAGCCTCCTAAGAGGCTTGGATCACAGGCGGAGCCGCCTGTGGGACAAGGATCCCTTTGAGGATATCTGTTCACATGTTTTGAAGGTTGCGTGCAAAGCACTGGTTCAGTCGATGCATAGTGCACATTTGTCACCGCAGATGCCCTCAGGGTGCTGGGGCGGGAGCTGCTGTGATCAGGTTAGGTTGATCTTTGCTGGTGCTGGGAAGGGGACCATAGGTCAAGGACAAGTCTGGTCAGGTTTCCTTCACTGGCGGGTTCTCCAGATCTCTCCACCTTGTGTTCTCAAGTGTGTTCCCTCTTCCTGGCCATGCGGCCTGACATGGTACGGGGCACACTCTGTGTGCAGCTGCCCTTGGAAGGACTTGTTGGATGGATTTGTGGATACAGTGAGCAGGTGCTAAATGTGGCAGAAACCCCATTGTGCCTGGGTGTGTGTGGGGGGCGTGGGGAGTTGGCTGAGTGAACGTGCTGTTGACTTTTCTGTCCTGAGCTGAAGACAGTTTCAAGCATTCCACCTTGTTTTCTTATACTGGTCCTGGGCTTGAACTGAGAGTCTGGGTGCTGTCCTTTAGCTTTTGTGCTTAAGGATGATGCTCTACCACTTGAGCCAAGTCTCTACTTCAGGCTTTGTTTTGGTGGAAATAGAGTCTCAAAGGCTTTCCTGCCCTGCCTGCCTTTGAGTCACGATCCTTAGATCTCAGTCTCCTCCCTGGTTAGGATTACAGGTGTGAGGCTTAGCACCTGGCTACAGCCCATTTTATTTTATTTTTATT